AAATCAGATATAGCTTTGCTCGTAACTAGCCAATCACAGACATTCTGTACAAACTTGCATCTTCCATCTATGTGATTTGTGTCAGCAGCTCTCTCTCTCCTCCCCACAGTGGTGATGGGAATACAACAGGAGCTACTTTTTAACTTTCTAGGGATGTATATTCATCGGCTGTCAGTGTTTCTGTCCTATGAGCCTGATATAACTGTCTGCATAGAACATACACTGCAGGGACAACGGTTAGTGTGCATGTTCGGTGGTCGGAGTGGCTTAGCAGAGGCAGCAGAGGTAGAGATGGTAGATATTTGTGTTCATGTTGCTTACTGCCACTTAAACTTCGGAAACATTTTGCACATTAAGGGGGGCTGTGGATCTTTGTTCCCCAGAAGGAGAGGGAAATATCTAATCACAGCTAGTATGGACTGGACAAACACAAATGATAACTCCAGAAATGTACACACTGTAGTGTTGCTACATGTGCTGTGTGTACAAGTCTCCAGTGCTTAAAATGTATACTTACGACGAGAGGACGATGGCCACAGCATCATTCAAGACACTTTCTCCAAAGAGTAAAGCATACAGGTCCACGTCTACTTTTAGCTCATTAAAGATAGCCAGCACTGTCACTGAAAGACAAAGAAACACAAACACCGTGACGTGAAAGACCAAAACAATTAGAGCAGGGCGGATCCCTCAAACAGACAGAGTATCCAATAACAGGAAAGATAAGGAGCCAAGCTGCTTTATTAAAGAAAAGCAGTTTGACAATGAATCTGGGCAATGTTTTAGGACACCACCAACCTGGGTCTGTTGCTGATACAATGGCTCCAAAGAAGAGGCAGTCGGTGAAGAAGAAATCTCCACCAAGCTGGCCCACAACTTTCATGAAGGATACAAAGCCATACATGATGAGCCTGGAGGAATAAAGGGATTTGTACATGTCAAGAGAGACCCTCATATTGTCTGTCCATTTAACTGGTAGGATGAAATTCAACTAAGTCGTTTACTGATATATAAGTACATCTTATTAGGCAATTTCAACAACGACCAAATTACTTACCCAATAACAAAGCAGGATATAACTGTTCCTATAAATGCAAAGCCAGGATGGAGCCGATGTTCCTGAAGAAATGTCTCTGTGACAGACAAGTATACAGATCAAGTATATAATATATCATCAAACAAAAAACTGGTATGAAAATATCTGCCAACCTATATGTGAAACTTCACATGTACAATCATCTTTATAGTGTAGAGAAAAGCAATGCCTATTAATAAAGAATACATTATTCAAGATCTAATCTGTTAAACATATCAATTATTTATTGACATTACTAGTGCACTATTGTTCCTTTTGGCCCTCTTACCCTTTTCAGACTGTACCCGGCGTGGAAGATGATAGGAGGAAGCAAAATGTTGAAAAACACTTCTGGGTCAAAGGTCACCTGCAGACAGTTAATTATTAAAAAGAAAAAGAAAAGAAAAAAAAAGAAGACAGTAGTTCATTATAAATGTTGTTAAAAAAAAAACTCTCCAGTATTTTCTAACATACTTTGAAATGTCCCTTTAGTTACTCGTGAACCCCTCCCTACTCCTTTTTTTTTTTTTAAGTAGCGAGTTTCCCATTTTTTTCAGTCTGTGTACATAAATAAATGTGTTAATATTATTAACATGTTTACATTTTTTTACGTTTTCATAGACAGAGATTGTGTTTAGATGTTTGGCATACTTTGCACAGTTCAAAAAGTCAACTGCATTAAAACACCAACTTGGAAGACCAGTAACTGTCAGTGACTGGCAAACCTGTTTTAATTTATACATGTAAGACCGGCTTTCTTTTTTGCACTTTGGACTCATATGTTCGGTGAGACACCAAAAACAACCATTTGCACCCTCCATTCAGTCTTCCATCTGCTCAACCTCTTGCCTTTCTCAGCATCTCATCATCCTGCACTTGGTGACCTTTGCCCCGGCTGACTTCCCCCTTCAGAGTGTACTCGTAGAACCGCCCGCTGACATTGACCAGCAATGTAGCGGGACTGGCGTTGACGGCACAACTGAGGACCACGTCACTTATGCTCTGAGGCACATGGACCCCAAAGCGCAGGATCACACCCACCAACAGGCCTTTAGGAGAGAGGGGGAGAGGAGAGAGAGAGAGAGAGTAAATAAAAACTTTTACAAAGTGCTTTTACAGGGATAAGAAAAAAAAGAATAAACATCATCATGGTTTGATTCTTCTTGGTTCTATTTAAGGCATCTTTTTTTTTTTTTTTTTATTACCTGGGTGTGCCATATACTTTAATTAGCACATTAATCAGGCAGCTTCTCTCTGGATACTGGAAATGACTGAGGTGTGTGTGTCTGATTTGTTGAAGGCCACGACATAGTTTGGATTTTTCCAATATTTTACTACTGTCCATTTAAAAGCTGACAGAGAACCACCTCTGTAAACTAAAGACACAGTAAAATGGCAATCCCACAACTCAAATACAGTTAATGAATATTAACTCTGCGTATAATAGCCTACTTTATAATCCAATCTAATCTTTAAACTTACAATATGTAAGCATTTCACAGGATGTCTCCTAAACCTTGTAACATGCGGCCTCATAGCAAAGCCTTAGCACTGACGGCTAAGTTGAGGTAATTGATTGACAGGGAGGTGAGCTAACGATCTCTTACCATAGATCATAGCAAGTCCGGTTTCGTGGAGGAACCGAAACCGCCGGTGTTTGAACAACCATATAGTCAAAATTGTGAGCGTTAAGAGCATTATGAATATGAGCAGATTGGCACTGTCCTGTCGGTGGCTCTCCTCAGCCAGCCTCTCAGTTGCGACGTTGTCCATCGCATTGCTCTCTCCTCGGCTCTTCACGAACAACAATGTCAACAAAAAAGGCAACAACGGCAGTGCTCTCGACGGTGTAACACCAAGAAAGCGTCTTAGTGTGAATCCCATAACGTTTTCATAACGATTACATTTGTCGCTTAAACTTAGATGGGGGTTTTTTTTTTACGTGAAACGAGAAATCAGCTAAGAGACCCAGAGCAATGACAGCTCCTTCCGCAGTAGTTAACCAAAACAACGATACATCCGGTTTCAAAATAAAAGTCCGAGCTAGAACAACAGCTACCGTTCATGGTGTATGCTCATTTTAGAGTGTTTTCGTTGTGTCATGCAAATCAGATAGCACAATTAAATCAAGTACAAAATAGACAGTTTGATAATTAAGAATCAAACCGAATAGGAATAGGTGAAAAATTACAGGAAAAAAAGATCAAGGATTTACACTTAGATTAAGATTTGTTTTATTAGCCCAAGGGGAAATGTGTTTTTCAGCAGGATCAGACAAAATGACACAATATGTAGGGATATCATCAACAGTAAAACATACCTAGATAGAGCAGACTTAGAAATCTAACACAATACAAATGAAACGATGTAAAAGTACAGTAAAATCAAAACTCGCAACATGGCAATTTCTAGGAGAAATATTCAAAAGTGCAATACAGGTGTGCAATAGCACAATATTAGTGCAAAAAAAAAAGCAACATGAGCTTTATTTTTTACATAAATTGTATAACTTGCCCTTGGGATAATCAAGATTTGGAGTCGTGTAGTCTTCCTCCCCCTCAAATGATGGCCTGATGGCAAAAGCTGCAACTGACTCTGCTGGATTGCATAAATCCTCCTAAGGGCCAGCTAGGAGCCTGACAATATAGCCATGTTGACCAGGCTCCCAATTCTGTTCTTTTTGTCCAAGTTTAGGTTCCCAAATCATGCAATACAAAAGCTTATAAGACAGTCTCAATAAAACTTGTGTAAAAGAGTCAATCCATGATGAAAACGGAAACAAATGAAACAGGGTTGGTTTTAAAATGTGTTTTTTTCTGAAATAAGTGACAAAAGACTCAATCTACAATCACAGTGAAAACTATCTCAGACCAGAGACAGGATGTTAACCAAGCACAAAAAAACCCCTGGTCAGATTAACTGGAAATAATATGAGCTGAGTGATGACTAAGCAGTTAGAGATAAAGCGATAAATTAAACTTTCATTTCTGGCAGCTGTCAAAAGATCACTGGCTTTTTATGGTACCTGATAGAAAAATACATTTAAAATACTCTTGTTGTAATTTTGTTTAAAAGTCTTTGCTATTTGGTTAGTACAACAGAGATCAACATTCATCATTTAAATTAGACTTTGTGGTGAAAGCATACAAGCATACTACATTTAAACAAAAGTTTAATTGCATTCTGTTATTGACTATTTGAGTGGGGACTACAGACAAATTAAGCTCAACTGCACAGGGGTCTTATCTGCACAGTTACACGTATATTAAAAGGTTTAGTCACTCCGATAAGTGTGACAAATAATTCAGGTAAATAAAAATACAGGTAGTCAGTGTACCTTAATTCAGACATGTTTACAATTGTTCTGTTTTTGTATGAGGTTGAGATGTACATAGATCTCTTCAGAAACAGTTTCCTCTGACAGGAAACCCACAAAGGCAAAGCTGAATTTTTTTTAAAAAAGCACACACAGACAGCGTCTCACAAATGTCCTTTTACTTTTGTGCTCTGAAAAATTGGAAATATTTACAGCCCATTCTCAAGATCAACACTTTCATTTCATTTGGACAAATGAATGTGATGTTCTCAAACAATTTCATCGTAGTATGCATTCTGTTACTGTTTTGTTTTTTTAGAATGAAGAGAAATATAAATGAAATGATTTTTGAGGGTTAAACAAAGTTTTAATGAAGGAGTGAAAAAAAGATCTGCTATCACATGAACCTCCCATAATGCACATGGCAGCCATGTTAGAGCTTCAGTTGTAAGAATGTTGCCATAATGCTATGAAGACAATTCAGATAGTTTTGATAGATGATAAATTGTCTTTGTTTTGTATTATAGTTTAGCCATTAAGCATACGTCTTTAATGATTATCATCTGTACCTATGGCCATATATGTTGTTTCCTGACAGGAAACCAACAGCAGTGAAGTGAGCAGCTAAAAAGGAAATGAAAACACCACTCGTCGACAGTCAGCTATAGAAGTAGATGTGCTCATCCTGTTTCTGTGAAGTGTGCCATGATGTCTACTCGACTGCTTTTGCTTTTCTGTCTGACAGAACATGTGTTTACCAAACAACTGCCTGGTAAGAATATTTACAGCTTGACTATTCTTTAAATCTTTAACTTAAGGTAGAAGTAGGTATACGTTTAAGGGCTTCTATTCTTTTTATATCTACGTAAGTCTGAATGTTCCTAGTCTTTCCATGTTTGAGAGGAGTTTACTGTATTTTTCACAACTTTCCTAAAATAAAAATAAAAACAAGATTATTAAGGTGAAAACAGCCAAACTGTCTTCAAAAGAAGGTCTTATACTACACATTATCACTTGAATTTTCAAATTCAACTGAACTGTTTCTCATAAAGCATTAGTTTCGATATGAAACACTTTACATAACCTTACGTCATTCAAATGCTAGTTCCTTTTTTTTTTCTTTATGGCAGTATTTGTGGGCGAGCAGACTGCCAGTTGTGAAGGTCAATAAATGTTCAATCTTGATGATTCTCGTTGTGTTTTTTTCTGTGGTTCTCCTCCCTCTGGTGTCTCTGGCAGATGTGGACTGTGTGGTGGTGCATCTCAAATATGTCCAGTGTTTCTGGAACAAGCTCGGGACTCCACAGAGCAATTTCACCTTCTATGGCTGGTTCGTATTTGTGACAGCATGCTGAACTTAACCCAAACTCTGGGGAAAAAATCAAACTGCTGAGGGTGACATTTTAAACTAATGTTAAAGATAAAATCCATGATAATTCACTTTTACAATTACTTTCAAAATTAATCAACGCAGGTAAATAATACCGCATATTTTGACCTACAATTTTTTTAAGCGACCCATGTACAGAGACTAGTCCTCGTTGCAGCGACCGTAGGTTTGAATCCGAACCTTTGCTGCATGTCATCGCCCAGTCACTCCTCTCTTTGGCTTCCAAAAAAAGACATAAAAATAAAAAAATAATAATAATAATAAAAAAATAATAAAAATATTTTATTTTTTTTAAATTTATGCTCAACATAATTATAAATAACACGTGAGATGAAGCAATATGTATAAAAGAAATGGCCCTATGAATCATTTTGCCCTCTGCACACCTTGAATACTGTTATTGTGTTTAAAATAACTTTTCATACAAAATCATATCCTTCATTTGTCTGTGTGGTGCTCTGTTAAGCTTCAATAGCAGGATTATGATTTACTTGTATTAGAGGGATGTTAATGCTTGGTAAAGATTTTTGAGCTGGTAGTAAAACAGACTGAAATTCCTACTGATGCCTCTTTATAACTTACAAATTCAATAGAGGCCATCAGTGAGAAGATTGATTATTTCTATGTACTTATTTTAAAGCTGGTTAGGTGTCAGATCTTCACAGTGAGAGATACAGCTGCCAAAAGACTGCTGGATTAAATGTTTTGTAAAAAAAGAAAAAACACAATTTACACGTGTAGGGAACAAATTCAGGACAGACATAAATCATCTTGCTTTTCCATAGGGGCCCAGGTCAACACTAAAGCCCTAAAGATCAGGAGCTTTATTCTAATCATATTTATTGCTGCTGGCATTGTGGCACAAACAAAATTAACATTTCTAAAGTCTTTGTCTTAGGAGCCTGACTTAAGACATCAGATATCCACTGGTCAAACATAAGTGTTTGTTGTTCTTCAAGCTAAAAATAACACCATTACCTTTTTGTTACCTTAAAATCTTGACAGAATCCAGCAAGGAAAGTTCCACTTCTCATAAAAGTATTAGTTAAAATAATGTCATTCTAATGTGTAGCATTTCACTTCAACATTTCCAGCTCATCATAACCTCATAATGGAGTGATTCTCTATCAAATCTAAAAATGTCATGTCAGCATATTCCACTTTGTTTTTGAGCGACTAAATGGTGATTTCTTTCGCAGGTTCCACTTTGAGAAACCAATGACTGAATGCACAAGCTATTTGTCAGAAAAAGGCATAAATATTGGATGTAATCAACCATATGCCGAAAAAAGCAACAGGTTCAAAACGTTTTACACCACACTCAAGGATGGCAACAACAATCACTCACAGACGCATACACTTCGACAGAGAGGTAGGCTATGCCTTCTTTTTCTCAATTGCAACACAAATGTCAGGCAGTATTTAGAAAAGTAAAGCTATGAATGATAGAGAGGCATTTTTATTTTATTTAACTTTAAATTCAACATTGTAAGTATGTTTGCTTTGAAAATAAAAGTTCAGGCTTTAGTTCTAATGCCAAATGTTATTTCAGTACCAACAATGTTTTGAAAAACTTGAAAACTTTGACCTCTCTTTAAAATTAAAATCAATGGAAGTATATTTTGACATAGAAAGTTTGAAAAATAAAACCCATTGGCACCTTGTCATCACAATCTCTATAATAAATGTCATCTGTTGTCTGCAGTCATGTTATATCCACCCACCAACCTGACTGTCCAAATGGAGTCAGATTTGAATCTGTGGCTGTACTGGAACCAGACCATCATGGCTGTGTGGAGAGCGAAATTCGCTATAAGATCAATAACAAGGAGTGGGATGTATGCAAAACTGACTCTTCCATAAGTTATCATTCTTTTCATGACTTGTTTCATTATCATCTTGCCTTTGCTGTCCCATCTCCTTTGTAAACTCTTCATTATTGTTCACAGACAACTAAAGTCAGTACTGGGAAGCAGAGCCACTGCATCAATCTGCCCTGCACCCAATGCAAGTATGAGTTGCAAGTGCGAAGCAGATTTGGATACAGCTGTGCAGAGTCTCTGTTCTGGAGTAACTGGAGTGTTCCTGCGGCCTGGGGGTTTGACAACAGCCCAGGTAAACATGCAAAATGTATGCTGTAAAAAAAAGCTTTATACTGTATAGTAATTACAGAAGCCTTAACTGACACAATGAAGCTATCACTGACCTACAGGTAACCACCAACATCACTTAGTCTCCGGCAGAGAGCAAAGATGTAGACTAAAAAACCAAATAGATTAATGAGTTGTCAAGCCTGGATTGTAATTTAAGGGTCAATAGTTCTTATCCTCCAATAAGATTGCCAGTAGGCCTACAGGCCTAAATTCCATAGAGGTTTCTTTTGTCAGGCAAACTTTAAGTCCTCAGTGAATACTACGATTAATATATTTTTTTAACTAAATCACATTGGATTAAACATAAAATGTGAAAACTGATACACACACCTGCTCCTCTGTGTGCACACTGTATAATAAAGATGCATTATTTTAAAATATAATGACAAAATAATCACCCCCACCCCCCTTCCCTTCACAGACACTGAGCAGATGAAGTCAATGTCAGTGTGGACTCCAGTGCTTATTGTGGTGGGCTTCATCACCCTCATCTTATTGGTCATGATGTTGCTGCATCATGATAGGTGGGTTCACTAATACCTATGTCATGTGTACGTGGTGGAAGTTATTGGGTTATTGTACACTTACCTTCTCAGTTTTTCATGCATTTTGTTGTGTGACTGCTAGGTCTATAAATCTTGTTAAACTAAAATGACAAAAGACAAGAAGTAGAAAGATATTTAAATGACTGTACCCTCTTTACAGGCTCAGAATCATCCTCATCCCCCTTGTTCCCAAGCCAGCCCTGATTCCTCGTGACATTGAGGTTAGTTTTATCAAAAGCTTTGTGCACTTCTTCCTGAGATCATGTGAAGGTAATGCATTGAACTCATATTTTCTTCTTCTGAAGGATTGGTTTCAACACTCTAAAGGCCTGGAAGACAGATTTAAGCCGAACTACAACGAGCGTGCCTGTACCGTCCAGGAGTACACCCAAATCTCCCAGTCTGACAGCGAGGGCTCTGTCAGCTCCACCTCCTCTGTCACCACTGACCAATCCTACTGCTCAGTCCTCATCTCTGCAGACGAGCCTGACCCTGCTCCCCTTCAAGCTCCAGAGGTCTAGGCTCATCCAAGCAGGCTGAGCAGATCTCTGATGAGGCATGTTAACATCTATGGGGGCGGCAGTAGCTCAGTCTGTAGGGACTTGGGTTGGAGAGGTGCCAGTCCACTTCCTGAGCACTGCCAAGGTGCCCTTGAGCAAGGCACCCACTGCCCTCTCCATTAGTGCATGTCTATAGTATTGTGCATGTGCATGTGTGTGTATTTCAGCCTATGTTTGTGTAGCATGTTAACTAGTCAGAGTGTAAAAACAAATTTCCCCCCGTGGGGAAATTATTTATATCAGGATAGGGTCTCACAAATCTTTACAATCCAGACGTAATTCTTCTAACATATCCTTCATGACTGCAAAGATTTAAAAAATGTTCAAACAGTGAAGGGTTAGATCCATGAGACATATTTGGGCTTGTACATAAACATTCTCTAAGCAGCTCTCAGAATCCATGAGGAGAAACCACATACCTGTTTTGAGGAATTTAAGTGATGTATTTAATTTTACATTTTTTTTTCTACATAAAGGCCAAGATACTAGACTTAGCAAGTCAATACTAAGCAGATAACTTTGATAAGTGTCTTTAAAAACAGTTCATCATTTGTAATATATGCGAAGCTTCATTTGAGTTGAGTGATTCAGTTGCTAGTTAAAAAACACAAATTCAAATCAGGCTTCATATGAACTTTGGGGTTGCAAATTCAGAAAATATAAGAGTGTTGTGAATGTCCTTAATAGCTTATTATCATGTATTACCTCATACTTTATGGCTAATAAGAAACCCATTAGTAGCCTAAATCTCTTACATCTCTTCTGTATCATTACTGAAACATAATCAAACAACCAGAATAAACGCCTGCCAACGCCATTTTTTTTAAAGACCTGACAACTATTGAAATGTTCTTAAGGTCAAATGATCCAACAAAAAAAATAATATTAGTAAATAACCATGTATTAATGAGGCGATTGTCTCCAATATAATAAAAAGTGCCCTATTTCAAAGTGGCACCAAAAAGTCACAACCCCAGATGAAATATTGTACCATCTATCTACCAATCCTCTTTTGTAACATATTTCATTACTTTGATGTTGCCATACCATACAATTATATGATGGACCTAATTTTCCAGTTCATTTTTTTTTTATGTAGGCCTATATCCAAAAATTGATGTAGCCTAATAGAAAACAATTAAATGTGGGTAGCCTATATCGTGTGTTTTTTCCAATTCGGCCTTGCTACATGTGTAAACCTTCTTCCTGCATTTTTCCTTCTGCTTTTTTAAAAAATTTTTTATAGCCTCAATAAATATATCTTACATGTCTATGTGTGTGTCTAAGATTTATTTTATTCATTTTTCAACTGCACCGCTTAATATCAGTGCGACTAAGTTGAACGTTCCCTATGTGGTTATGTTGGTTGTCCGATAGAGGGAGTGCGGAGGGGTCCCACACACAGCAGCACGGAACTGAGTCAACGCATTTTTCAGATTCTAGAAAAGGTAGGGCGCAGGGCGGCTGGCCCCCGCAAGAGGAGAGACACAGTCAGCTACTTCCCTAGCTGGAACCGATCGGCTATCGCAATCAGTTGATGTCTTCAGATGAGATCTAACACTAAAAACTGAGCATTAAGCTGGTTGTACGCTAATTCGCCGTCGGTCGTCCATAAACAAAAAAAACCCTTACAAAATGTCAGAGCCGTCGGTGGCCGACACTCGGGGCCTGGAGGAGCTCAAGATGGCGCCGCAGTTAAAAATCGAGGACCGAGGATTTTTTAGAGGCCTAGGTTTTAAGGTTACCTGATCAATCTCTGCGAACAACCTAAAAGTTTTTTTTTTTTTGTTTTTTTTTTACGTCTTCTTGCTGGCCGTGTCAATGGTGCAGAATTATCGTAGTCGTGTTTAAAATAATCTTGAAACTGCAGTTATGAAAAAAAAAAATCCCGATAAAAACCGAATTAAATTAAAGATAACACCCTGGACTGTAAACAAATTCGGCTAGTTTAACATTATCTGTCTATCTAAGGGCGTAGGGTCAAGTTACCTTTAAGACGTCAAAACACATAAAATAGTCTGCGTTAAAGTTAAACTACTCATCGATTAAGTTAATGCTAACATGTGGCTAGGAGTATATATATATATATATATATATGAATTACCAGCGGTGTCATCGATTACATCCTAATGGAGACAAATAGCTTTAAGTTAAGTCTAATTCAGTGATATGTGATGTACTTTACAAAATACACATGAATGATTTTGGAAATGTAAAAATGAGTCGTGATTTTGATTTCGTCGTGTGGTTAGCCTGAGAAACTCAAAAAATCACTGACACAGCTGTATGTTTTCAGGAAGCTTATTCTAACTGTGTAATTGCAATTTAACTTACTAGACTCGTCTTCATCCTTATTTGTGTGTTTCCTGCCGTCTCCTTGGAGAATAAATCTGTAATAATATTTTGTGTTTTCACTTGTTGAATAGATATTCATAGACATAACCTTCAAAGGTGTATAACCTAGTTTGACAGTGTTTTACATCAGAGGTCAAGATGAATGTATTGTTATTAATCAAATAGGTGTGTGTGTGTGTGTGTGTGTGTGTTTGATAATAATAATAGCCAAACCTTTAAAAAACAGATCAGTGTGGTTCAGAGATCCGCATCCTTTACATACAGCTAACTTTCATTGACTCCAATTCACTGTCAATGGATTGTCCACATAAGTGAATCATAGGAAAATCATGCCAAAGGATCAACAATGCATTCTGTTATCACTTATACATTTAGACATGTTTAATGAGTGATCGCTTATAGGGCTGCACAATTATGACACAAAAAAAAAATCCTGATATGTTTTTAGATGTATTGATATTGAGATCACCAATATTAAACATGATAACTCATTGATCTTACAACACGTGCATTTATTTAACTTAAATACTTATATAAATAGTCTGATTTACTCTCGTGGCTAAATTATAACAACAAAAATTTACCACACACAACAAAACCTTTGTGAAAAACGAGCGCAGCACAGCATACCGCACAGTAAAAATGTAATCTCAATTATTTTTGTCGTGATCCTCGGAAACAAAAATCGTAATTGGAATTGAAACTCAATTAATTTCCCGGCCCTACGCTGACATCAGTAGAGGTTGATTGCTCACAGAATCCACCATTTTAATCAAAGTCCAAACTCTCCAGCAGTCTGTGAAACAATACAATGCAACATGTTAAATTGTATTTCCAAAACATGGGCTGCATGAAACAATAAGGTTTAAAAAAAAAAAAAAACTTCTTAAATGGGGCGCAGGTGATGTAATGGTTAGTGCACTCGCCCCATGTGCGGAGCCTCTGGTTCACCAGGCGGCGGGCCGGGGGTCGTATCCAACCAGTGGCTCCTTTCCCACATGTCATTCCCCACTCTCTCCCCGGTTTCTGACTCTATCCAATGTCCTGCCTTGAAGGCATGAAAAGCCCAAAATTAAATCTTTAGAAAAATAAATCTTAGACAGTTTATCGGACCATTCTTAAAAATGTCCTCTGTTTCTGGTTTTAATCAATTATTTCATGACAGATATTAATAGATTTAAATAAAACATTTAATCAATAAGTTGATGGACAGCAAATTTACCTCAATACATTTTATAACTGATGAGCATTTGTTGCTTTGATGTAAGAACGTATTGCTCTCCTTCTTTAAATCTCTGTAGATTGGAAATTGCAATATCACCTCCAACTAGCATGCTAGCTTTATTATCTATTTAAACCGTCAAAAATGACTGTTGACTCTTTCATCCCGTGTAGACAAACCTTCCCATTTTCAAACTGAAGGATTCCTGTGTGAGAAGAAGATACAGCGACTTTGAGTGGTTAAAGAATGAGCTGGAAAGAGACAGTAAGGTAATAAAAGAGACATTATAAGTGTGAAACCTATCACCCTAATAACGTTTATTATGTGAAGTTAACAGTAGGGTTGCACATAAGGTGTTGTCTTTTTGTGTTTATTAATCAAATACAGATATTAGCTTTGAGCTATTCTTCCCTATTAACTGTGTTGCAACTGTAAAAAAAAAAAATGCATGTTGATGTCTGAGTTTTCTTACATTCAGCTCAGCAAGTGTTGACTTTCGATTTCATATTTTTATTCCTTTCTGTTTACCCCTAACACTTTCAGATTGTAGTACCAACTCTACCAAGCAAAGCCCTGAAGAGACAGTTGCCGTTCCGTGCGGATGAGGGCCTTTTTGAGGAAGCGTTCATTGAGGAGCGACGATCGGGCCTGGAGCAGTTCATCAACAAGTCAGTTGGTTCAACAGCCCTAAATGAGAAGTCATTCTAATTGTTTTTAGATGTGAATCAAGCATCAGATTCATAAAATATTCAAATATAAGATAAGATAAAACTTTATTGATCCCCCATTGGAGGCAATTTAGTAGTTGCAACATCTCAGAAAAACAGGAGCAGAATCAGCAAAAGTAGCAAAAAGTAAAAAACAAACATAAGTTTGGAATTTGAAAGGCTTTCTGACAGATTAGTTAAAAACTACAAAAAAAAAAAATATTTTTGTGTGATGATTAAAAGTTGTAAAGCATGTTTCAAAGCTATTATTGTGTTTCCTGTAAGCTTTCTAGCCCTAAATTATGAACACAGAAATGTGTGTGTTCAGTAGAGAAAGTCATTGTAGTAGATGTGATGGATAATTCTGGTATTCTAAACATATGTCCTATTGAACACATTGAACATTGAGGTCTTTCGCACTTACTGGGACAAACTACTTTGGAATAGGTCATCTGAGCTCCCAGCTGTGAAATGGGCTGCAATGGATGCAACAAAATATGTCCACTAATAAGACTAGTTTTTCACTTTTCAGTTTTAGTCCTTTTTTGATGAAGAGTGCAATCCCCATTTGCTTAAGTCAGACATAAAATACTTCAGTAGATATTTCTCTGAAATCTGGCAGCGAGAGATGGCATGCTGCAAGAACAAAGATTGTAGAAAAGAGAGTTATAGTTAGAGAAAGAAGGTAGGGATCCTCTCCATAATGGTGCCAGACCCTGAAAATTCAAATCAAAAAGAAGTAGTGTGTAGTATAAAGTGACATCTTGCAGTGATGTTGCAGATTGAAACCGAAAACAGCAGGAACCACTCCCTTTCATGTGAGTAGGAGAAACATTGCTGATTCAGACAGGGATGGGACTCTGTTTGGATTTTGGATTCTAAGGGTAACTGTAGCAACATAGCGTTGCACGCACATGATTTTGAGAAGTGAAATAGATTCCTGGATCAACACAGAGCTACCAATCCTGGACCAACTTTGCAATCAGCCAATCAAAGCCTGCTGACATCATTGTGCTGCTCCTGTGCCATCTACCAATAAGTGTTAGTCAACAATATTCTAGCTTAGTGCCAAGCATACTTGTTTGCAAAGCCTACTTAATTATCAAGCTAACTTGGTAACCCTGCAGTAGCTCACGTAGTGTAGCTACAACAATAGGTAGAGATGACAAAGGTTGATAATCATCACTTTTAAAAAAAAAAGGCTGTAAAGGTTTTAGCTCAAATGAAACTTCAATTTGTAAAATGTATCAAATCACAAAAAAGGTTTTCAAATAAAAAGCAAAGTAGCACAAAAATGATGAAATCAGAAGGCTAGGATTAGTTGAGTTAGTTTACCAGACCAACTTGTAGCTCTCTCAAGTGTGTCACTAGGGCCCGGTTTGAAAAATACTGTAACTACTGTTGAACTGAAATCTTTATCCGTGTTTGTATTAAAATGAGTGAATCTGATCTATTTCCCATCTGTGTGTATGTTTCTGTAGAATTGCAGGTCACCCATTGGCCCAGAATGAGCGCTGTCTTCACATGTTCCTGCAAGAGGAAAGCATTGACCGTAACTACATTCCTGGAAAAGTACGACTCTAGGGTTATTGGGGTGGGGGTGGTTAAAGTCTGAGGTGTAGATTGGACTGTCTCTTGCCTTTCTCTCTCCTCCCATATCCTCTTTATCTTCACCTCTATTCCTCTGCTTTATCTGCCTCTCTCTAACTCTCTCTCTCTCTCTCTCTCTCTCTCTCTCTCTCTCTCTGTCTCTGTCTCTGTCTCTGTGTAAAACACTGTTAAATCTTACTATTTTCTTTATCTTGGACTTAAAGTATGTTCTTCTACATTACATATGGACATGATGCTAATTTCTCTCCTGTGCAGTTGTTTTATAACCGTACCAAAGGAACGCAGCCCTCAGTAGTTGTGATTGAATTGTGTAGATTCCACTCTTAATCTCAATTTTCAGGAATGAAAATAATGTCCGATACATTCAGTCTATCACTGATTAGTGTCATATATACATCATGATTGTATTATAATGTGAATAAAGTCTAATAATGTCTTAATGAGTGTTGGCACTAATGTTAACCATAGGAATGTTTTCACACTGTCAATGAAATTTCTGATCTTGTTTTGTTCTCTTTGTTTTTGTTTGTTTTAGGTATGAATGAAGTAAGTTTTTATGCTTTATTACCATATATCCTGACTCCAAGCGCTTTCTAGAGGGTTAAGGAGGTTGCATGGGCACTACAAGACCAAAGGCGATAGTTCACAGATACTTAAGCAACACAATGCTCATATCATGTATGTGTTATCACAGAGATCTACCTGCAACGTGTTAACTTGTCAATGTGGTCCCTGGTTGTCACATAAAACAACCAGTTATCCCCCCCCCCCCCCAAATAATAATATTGGGTGATTACTGTGTTCTGCAAAGGGAGGAAAAGTCTGCAAGCCAGTTCAAGCCAGAACAAAAATAAATTAAATCCCATTTGCAGTTTAAAGTTCTCACTCGGTCATAAGTTAATCAGCTGTTTCTCAGTAACTGGTTTGCAGAGGTTTCCTTAATCCACCCATATACATTGAGTGGAAAACACAACCCCCCCCCCCCCCACTAGTGTTTTTGAGTTATGTGAACTATTGTTTCATTGGAATAAGTACTGTACACCACCAATGACGAGAGCACTCTTTTTTTTTTTTTTCAACATGTCTATTCAGACTAATTCTGATACATTACCATTGTCTACTGCACTAATCATTTGCTGCATGGCAAACTTTGCACGCTTTCTTTGCAATATGTGCATGTCAGTCTCACTGACGAATTCTTTGAAATACTTCTACAATCCCCATCATTTTTGTTCAACCTGTCAAATCAGAGCTTTAGTCCTTTAAATTCAGTCGTTGTGTTTATATTGTCAGCAAGTACATAATGCCATGTCCTGCGTTTTGATGTTTAATCATGTTCTTTCTCTTGTATCTGTCTATCATCAGTTAAGTTCAGTGGACACTTTGATGTCTGATGAACTGAAGCTGTTGAATTAAATATCTTATAACCGTCATGTAAGAAATACAAGGCATTGAATTTTCTGCACACTTGTCCCATCCAAGTCTCCAAACACAAAGTCTGGCAATATCTTTTCCATGAAATTGGCATAATGATGTAAAAAGAAATCCTCACTGCATTATGCTCATTTGTCAAGTCTGTACTCCTCAGCTTGGCAAATGTCTGTTAAGTTCTGACACCATGTCATTAAACTGCATGCTGTCATGTTAAGGTCATAGCTTCCTTCATTTTCTTTACCTGCCTGGCTGACTGAACTAAAGTCACATTTCATTCCAGAAAAACTGTTGTCACTAGGATTACAGTACTTTAAAGGTGCACTATGTAGATTTTGTAGTGGAATTTGAAAGTTGGAGAAGTGAAAAATTCTATGCTACATTTTTTTTAACTAAATACACTATATATATATATATATATATATATATTAAAAAGGGTCCCTGGAACACTGTTTGGAGCTAAAAAGCTCCAAACCAGGAGAGTTGCGGTTTAACTGTTTCGGGCCCCCCACCATAACTTATGGCGTAGCATTTTATCTTCAAACATTGTTCCAGGGACCAAAATTTCCTCTGAGGACAGTTTGTGTATAGAGTTATGAACATATACCACATAATATAAATCTTTCACAATTTCACATTTCTCTGCCAAAACTACATGGTGCACCTTTAATAGGGTTGGGGATCTGAAGATTGAACTGGCTTGAACATGACCTGCACTTCAACTCCTGGCTTTGCTCAGTTAAAAACAGAACTGACCCCTACACTCATCATGAGTCAGAATGTCCAGATTTTGACCAGGGATTAATGACCCAAGTTTACAGCGAAAGTTCAGAGAGTCATCCTTTCTGCTTCGTTGACCTTTAAAGAAAAGCAGAGTGAGCTAACTTTAAGAGAGCACAGAGTGTAACTCTGTCCATTGTCTCTGAATATATGAAGATTGAAAATTTTCAAACAGGAATTCTGCACACACGCATGGACAGTTTGCAAATGTGTGTTAATTGATCATTTGAAAAACTGTGTTCAAGCAGAGATGGAAATGGGGCTTTTGTACAGTTTGAACCCAAAGTCAGTTCTTCATGTTGTGATAGTTTTTATAAAATATGTTGTGATACGTGCCATTACATTTAGTCAGTACACTCTGTTCTAAGAGACTCACAGCATTGACCAAATGCACTTAATTTTTGTTGTCTATTGTTCCTAATGTTTGTTGTCTCTTTCTCTCTCTTATCGCAAAGACAATACAGACTGCTGCACCTGCCCCTTGTACATTTATTTCTACTTCACGTCATTTAAAAAGCCAGTGGAAATGCCTGAACTGACGAGTATCAACAGTGTAACACAAATATTGCTCCCAGGACAAAACTAAGACATCCAATCTATAAATTGTTTGATGTTGTGTCTTTATTCAGTCATTCCAAACACTATATGTACATGCTTTTGATTTCATAATCAGTGAAAAGGAAAACATTTTCAATATATACTTTTTGTCATTTTATTAAAGCTAGATTTTTTTTTTCTCCAATGATTCTGTTTTATGAATGTCTTCTGATTGAAGTTGAAAATGAGGGTAAATTCCTGCTTTGATTGTTTATTTTCTTTCCTTAGCCAAGATGTTTCTTGATGATAACCTCCCAAAGTTGAGCAACATGTAGCACCATGATAAATACAGTTACCTGTCATTCCACTTCAGTATATTTGACCCCAAGTTCTTCAGTATGTCCTGAAAAAAAGCTCTCAATTGTTTGAACTCTGCTGTCTTAGTTGCATCATCATGCCGACACTTTGGCTGTGCGTTGTCAGCTATTGGGAATGTTTAGTTAGTGACATAACCATATCCAAGCACTGTGACAAGAGATTCATTATATGAACAAGATTCCATTGTTTATAGGCGTAATCAGCATCTGGTTAAATCGATCTGAAATGAGGCTTATTCTGTGCTTATTTTCAGCTGGTTTCATTCTTTCTATCAACATTTTTTGTGATGTGTATTAATACCTTATCATTTCAGTTCCATATGGGATGACGAGGGACTTCCTTGTTAATTCTTTCCAACAATTAAATTTCCTGCTGCCTGCTGTTTCATGTCCTCGGGTCCTTTTTAAAAAAAAAAAAAAAAGATTTAAAGCGGAGAAATCCAAGGAAACAAATCAAAACACAACATTCTGTTTGTGAATAGTGGACGCAATTGCATTGAAGAGGGGGTCATGGTAGCTGGATGAATGACCAGCAGATTGACAGATAACCCTGTTCAACAATCAAATGGAAGCAGAATATGAAGGGGTTGAAAATAAAGGAGGGAAGGAAATCTTGACTTACTAGAGCGTTACTTCGAAGTTGCTCACAGAGTTTTTAATACATGAACTTGTCAACCACAGCCAAATATCTTTTTTTTTTTTTACAAGAGAACAGATTAGTAGGAGACTGAGATTGGCTATGCAAAAGGTTTCTCTTAATTATTGTTTCATGATTCCTTTAACGTTCTTCTCGCCTGAGAGAAAACAACCACCTCTTCGCCACAAAGCGTCACAGTAATACACAAAGTATAAAGTAAAATAGTAGCAGCGTGAACACCAACTGAGCCCTTTAAGTCTCCATGGTATTTGTATTTTTAACACTGATGCACAAATGAATAAAACCTCAAAACACTGATGAAAGAAGTGTATGGTAAAGAGACCTGGTATGAATAACAACACAATAAAATGTTGTTTTAAATTGTTACTCTTACTCAAATCTTAAAGATTAACAGTTCCTAAAAACATTTGCCAACTATAAAGGTATAGAATAATTTATCTAATTTTTGGGCAAACAAGCATTCCCCACTCCAAGCTTAAGATGTGAGGAATTGATGTTTTTCTGTATTGTAAATAATCCTGACCTCACAATCAATTGGCAGACAGCAGTGTGTCAGGTATTAGAAATGATAGTGTGCATTTTGACAAAAAAACACACTACATTGCAAAGGAAGGCTGAAAAGAAGTGTGACGTCTTGGTGAGAAATACTAAGTCCTGCTTTCAGCCAAAAGCAGTTCATCTCTCATTCCTTCTTTTTTTGAACCCTTCTTCCCCCAGTTGCTTCTAAATGTCTCAGTATGAAACAGTACATTTTGCTCCTGTTATTTCCATTTCCATCTATATTAGGAAGGAAATAATGGTAAAGGGGTGATAATAGATATGAAGCGTCTAAAAATGTAAATTCTGGTTGGTATTTTTTTGGGGGGGGGATTTTGAAAATTTCAACAAAACAGAATAAAAAAAAACAATTACTCTTGAGTTTTCTGTTGTATCGTTCATCACTAGAAGTATACACTGATTTACACAGTCTGTAAAGGTCAAAGTGATTGGCTCTTAAACAGACTACCAGAGCAATTACAGTAAAAAATTCAATATAAGCAGCAGCATGTTAAATATCTTACTCAGTCTGAGTTTTTACAAGTGTAAACACATCAATAAACCAACTGTTCATAAACAGGATTAATAAATAACTATTAGAACATGAAGCTCAGGTCAAAAATGTAACCTGAGTATATTATCATATGTGTTTAATGAAAAAAAATACAGCTTATCTGGAACAAAGTGAGCACAAGTGGTGGCACAATGGGTTGATTTGTTTCAGTAAACATGAATCTTAAAAGTCCTGGAAATCTTTTCGCTGTTGTAGTCGGCCTTCAGGAAATACAGGGATTAACTGAGGAATTCTGGCCACAGGTGGATTAAAGTTGTCCCAGAATAGTGATCTTGTGATGCAGACCTTGACCTGCAAGTGATCCAAAGTAGACTCAACTTTAATTAGACACAGTTGTAGCTTCCAAATGTCTTTTTTTTATGAATTGTAAATGGTACATTAATACAGTCTGCCTGTTACAGTATCTGTGCAGTGTTGAACGTAACATGGTTCACTTCAAGAAAAACAAAAAGTTCCTCTCACACTCTGCAGACTTTGATTAATATTATATTCTTACAATGAAGGAAATAAAATGAGAGAAACATCCAGAAGTGCTTTTTTCACAACTACAAAATCATCGAATGTGTGCTCAAATATGAACAAAACTGATTTGGTTTTTTTTACATTTGAAAAAACAAAAATGTGAAAGAATGCATTTTAATGATTGAAAAGTACACAGGGATTCTGGGATACATACCGAGCGTGACCCTCTCCAACAGGGAGAACTGTGACCTACAAAACCAGTGAGCTTTGATGTGCTGGCCTAGTCCTGAGTAAATGAAAGTGGACAGTCAGGATGGGCAGACTGGGCCAAGTCAGAGATTAGGAAGTGTTTTGTTAGCCGTTCTAACACTGGAGCCCAGTTTGCAGCCGTGACACTTGTTGTGTTTGCAGAGACACCCAGTTGGGTTAGCTTGATAAAGTGGAAGTAAATTAAAAGAGCAACCCAAAGCAGTTTGACTGGGCAGGGACAAAAGGTGAGAAGGGTGGCTAAAGTATCGGACAGAAAGCAAGGGAGAAAATGTAATTTACAAATTAGTGTTAATTGTGATTATAGAGCAAAGGATTGAAAATAAATAAATACCTACTTTCTAATTAAATCATATCATTATTAGTTGATGTTTAGGTTGTCGCTTTGAAGAAAAGCGTCTGTTAAGTGAATTGTAGAATTAGGTATATTTATGTGTCTATATCTGTCTTCTGCCACACTGCTTGGGGCTGGGAGAACAGCATTTCCTCTTTTTTATGAATGCAGATACAAAAATGACAAAGAAATGGAATCTTGAATCTTCATTTACCTTTATTTTACCAGAAAGTCCCACTGAGATTAAAACATTTTTTTGACAAGACAGATCTGCTCAGGTAGAAGCCATACAAAATCACAAACACATTTAAAAACAACATAAACAACAGCATTTGCAGGCTTGGGTAGCAGGCATTAGATTAGATTTTCATTTCTAAATTGTATCTTGTCAGCAAAAAGAGCAGCTGTTGTGGTGTTGGGAAAATGAAGCCAATGCAGAAGTGCAATAAACCTAAACCATCGAGTGTACTCTTGAGGCGGGATGTGAAAGTCCTTATCTGCAAACACTGTATGAATTTTGCATACCTTTTAATTTTATGAAGGATTTATTCATAATAAGGCGTGTGGCTGACCTGACGGACTGGCAGGCGCGGTGCTGCTGGTTGTCTGGAGACGCAAGACCCGCCTCAGCTCTTTGCCTGTTGTTAGGTTGACCAAAAGAAAGGTCGAGACACTGGCTGCATCAGAATTGCCAAGTTCCTACACAATCTTTCAGTAGTCAGTAGACAGTACCTACTATCCGTGCTGTATACTTTTAGTATCTACTGTTCAGTAGGCGTGCACAGATGTACTAATAAAATAGCATACAGTACATACAGGAAAGAACAAATGGAAGACAGTAATATGCAGTATATAAAGTAAAACAAACCAATAAAGACGCATACATAAATATGGATTTCATTATTTAAATAGAGGGGAAAAGGTTTTATAATAATTCATACATTTGTTACATTTTTTATTGTTAATTAAAAGTAGCGATTTCAGTAGGGACTTTAACTCTAGATTAAAAATTGCTCGTTTGTTTTTATTTGGAGGTGCATATGAAGTCACGTTTTACATTTAATTTCGCACTGCATTGTGGGTGGGAAAATACCATTCATTTCTCTGAAAGGATGCATCCGATTTATACTGCATGAAACCCGGGAGTTATCCATACTGAAATGTTCAGTATACTGAGGTGGACCCAAAAAATGCATACTGAATGACCATGAGACTTCAGTCTACTGAAACACCCTACTGAAAAGTACGCACTGCATACTGAACTGTGGCTATTCGGAAAGGGCTAGCATTTCCAGCATGGCTTCGTCCATGTTTATTTACAATCTATGGAACTTATTGTTAATCTACAGTCTCTCCAAAAGCCCCTTTCTTGGCTTCCTTGCAGTTTGTTGTGATTTCATGTTTGTATTTTTAAATATGTAAAACTGAAGAAGCTCAATATCTTATTTGTAACCTTTAGAATTGTCCTGATTCATTTTAATTTGTGTACATGCATTCAGGCTGATGTGTGTCTAAACATGCATGGATCTGCAGAAAAACAGAAGTGTTTACCCGAATCAGGATTCATGACTTCCAGCATTTTTTTTATTATTACAAGAGTCGTGCAGTAAATTAAGGAATAAGCAGGGCGATTTCATAAATTCAAGGTTATTTTGGTTCGCATCAAATGACTCACTTCTTTATTTTCTTCAAATGTCTTGCAACACTTTCCAAGTAACTTGGATGAATGTACTAGTTAAAAATAATACATCTGCTGGTGGAGCATTCTGAGGCAATGATTCTGAGAAAAGAAATGTACTGACACACCCAGTTCAGCGTTAAATTATGTTAAATGACCTGGGTTCAGGGTTCTTAAATGATCCTGATCTCTATGGTGTTTAAGATTTTTGAGCCATAGCGCAGGTATTTTTGATTAGAATTCGATTAGAAGAATCAAAGATCATTCTTAGTCACAGACGGTGAGCTCACCAATTGTCTTATTTCGTAAGTTGTTCTAAAACAATCAGAGGTACTATGATTGTTTTTGCACAGAGATAAAAAATTTGGTTGACAACTTTTCTTAAAATCAAGAAATTGAATTAAAACTCAAATCTAATGTCAATAAATGTTTTAGTTAGTCAAAAATATGCTAAAAGAATACAAAATAATGTAATACTTAAATATAAATTCTATACGTTGTGTATAAATGCAAATAAAAACAATAATTGTTACACTTATTGCTTTTTTTAAGTCTGTTATTGTTAATTGTAAAGCGTTGATTTAACTCCCGTGGTGGAGGAAGTATTACTTTTTCAAGAAAAATACCACACTATGAAAAAAGTAGCTCACTCCGTTAAAAGTAAACGCCATTTATTGAAAATGTTAAATAAAGCATGAGAGGTAGCCTGCTCAGTACTCAGTGCAAAACAATGGCCCCTGTGACTTAATAATACTATTACTCGTGCTTTCATGTTAAAGCTGGATTTTACTGTTGCAGTTCAAATAAAGTGGAGCTTATTTTACACAGCAAGATATTTTTATATGACCGCAACTTATCATATATAATTAGGAATAAATCCGATTTCCCCCCTCCATTAATGGCCTAATTGTGCATTTTTTAAAAACATCTAAAAATAGCTAGAAAGGCTGTAGAATTGCCAAGAGCCAAAAGCCATAAAGTGCTTCTTGGTTCAACAAAAGATATACTAATTTCAAAATTTTAAATAGCCTATATATTTTCCTAATAATAAGGAAAATACAGTTATTGTTATTCGTGAACTTGCACTGTGAAAGGTTTTTGATTAATATAACTTTTAAAGTAAGGAAAAATGTAGCCACTTATTTCTGTTTCATTTTTCTCTTGTACTTCTAGCCTAGGCGCACGTAGATATATTTATAATTGGAAGAAAAAAAACACATTCCCTAACAGTTACGGCTAAAAAATAATATTTTTCTCAGAACAGTAGAGTGAGAAGTAAAAAGAGGAACGTAAAGAAAGCCAAAAGTAAACCTCAAATTTGTACCTTATTAAAAAATGACGAATTAAGTTTCATTTTGATCTCCCCTATTTAAAATTTGTTACATAATTTCATCATACAAAGACCACATTTTGGAGGAGATTTTACATAATGAAACTTAAGTCAGTGATTTGATTGCCAGTGACAAAACAAGAATAAAATGCTGCAAATATTGTTGTTTAACACCACCACTGACCCTAATAACCAGGTCACTGAGGGCAAATGCACCTAAAAGAGGTAGCTTGGTTTTCCCTCCTTTTCTTTTCATCTTTAAAACAAAGCAACAATTGGCAAGAATTCAACCTGCCGGGTCCTATATATAGGAGTAGGACGCAGATTCTGGTTTCCTTATATGTGCATTCATATTAAGAGAAAGTATGCGCGCACATTTTTAACATATGTTGTCTCCGTGGTGCACCCCTTAAAAACTGTTATAAACTACACAGTAAAAGATTTTTGGTTTCAACGTGCTTATAACACATTAATCAGTGTTGTAAATCACTAGCAGAAAAAGTAAAGGATCTCTCGGCTGTCTCTTCATCTATGAGTGGAAAGAGGTGGAGTTTCCGAATTGTGTCAGTTTGTTTTAGACCCGCCCCTTCCAGCTAACATCAAGCGTACTCAAACCCGAGCGGGATAGCTCCTCAGCGACCACAGCAACAGCATCCTCACTGCTTTCTGCCAGTGTTTCCATGGACAACGCGAGTAGGCTATATTAAAGGTAATGCCAATCAATATGATTTCATTATACAAATAACCATTTAAATTGTTTTCTAAGTGACAAAGTGGTGTTGAATTGACAGGTCTACTCACCTGGTTGTGGACTGATGCAATCCTTCCTTGTGCAATATCAGTTGTATTGGCGGACGAATGATTGGAACTGACATATCACTTTTATGTTGACATTGTTTATTTTTTATTTAAACGTTATACCTGTATGTAAACATAGTAAATAAGTATGGCCTCTGTTATTAACGGGTTGTAAGGTAACGTTATTTCTTATTTGAGGGGGGAATCAGCTGTTGTAATTACGGTAGTTAACCGTGTTTACAGAAAATCACAACAAAAAAGAAATGGGACAGTAAATGAGGCGACACATGTGGGAAATGTTCAAACTTGTTGATAGGCTTTTAAACATGGTTTCCGTGTTTTCTAGGGATGTAAAATTAATTGTAAAATCGTGATAAATCGATTCAAAGGTGTCAAGATTCACATCGGTACTCCGAAAAATGAATCGCAATAATAACGTAAACAACAACAGCTGCAGAGCAAGATTTTAAATTTGAGGACGCATCAACGTCTTTTAAATCGGAGGTGTGGAAGCATATTGGCTTCCCCAAGACATAAACGAACGATTTGAGAAGATAACAAACAAGACATAAACGAACGATTTGAGAAGATAACAAACAAGACATAAACTGTGTGCAAATACTGCAAGAAGACAGTGAACTACACAAATAGCACAACCAACATGATGCAGCATTTAATGGACACCACAATGAGAAGCTCCAATCACCTCCCCTTGTTGTGACAAATAAAACATAAAAATGGCAAACCACACTGACAAGCAGGTTTGCAGCCCCTAAAGGAATCTTTTTCAGTCATTATTTGTCTACAGTCTCATTTTGTATTTTTTTTTTTTTTTGAGAGAATTGTATGGTAAACCAGTATCTTGAATCATATCGTGAGTTGAATTAATTGTTGCATCCCTAGTGTTTTCTGTCGGTGTTCTCATTAATTGTTTTGGTCCGATCCGGCTAGTACAACCTGCTAATAGTAGGGCGTGGTTCTACTTCTACTAAGTAAACCACAAATTTGTACCTTATTAGAAAATGACTGATGCAACATGGACTTGGTGTTGCATCGGAAAGTTTTGATTTGAGTTTCATTTTTATCCCCCAACCCCCCCTTTGTAAATTTGTTGCAGGATTTCATCACACAAACACCACATTTTGGAGGAGATTTTATATAATGAAACTTAAGTCAGTGATTTGATTGCCAGTGACAAAACAAGAATAAAATGCTGCAAATATTGTTGTTTAACACAACCACTGACCCTAATAACCAGGTCACTGAGGGCGAATGCACCTGAAAGAGGTAGCTTGATTTTCCCTCCTTTTTCTTTTCATCTTTGAAACAAAGTCCTATACATAGCTGTCAGGAGGAGGACGCCAAGTCTGGTTTCCTTATATGGGCATTCCTATTACGGGAAAGTGCGCGCGCACATTTATAACATGTGTCGTCTCCGCGGTGCACCCCTTAAAAACTGTTATAAACTACACAGTAACAATTTTTTTTTTTTTTTGGTTTCAACGTGCTTATAACACATTAATCAGTGCTTGTGAATCACTAGCAGAAAAAGTACAGCGTCTCTCGGCTGTCTCTTCCATTCATTCAGTGGGGTTTCCGAATTGCGTCAGTCTGTTTAGACCCCGCCCCTCCAGCTGATCAAAAACGAGCGTACTCACAACCCGAGCGGGACATTTCATCAGCGACCACCATCGACAACACGAGTAGGCTATATTAAAAGGTAATGCCAATCACTATTATTTATTGATACAAATAATGATTTAAATTGTTAAAGTGACAAAGTGGTGTTGAATGTACAGGTCTACTCACCTGGTTGTGGACTGATGCAATCCTTCCTGGTGTGATATGATCAGTTGTATTGGCGGACTAATGATTGAAATGGTATAAGGACCCTTTTTCTTGACGTTGTATATGTATTTAAAAGTTAAACCTGTATGTAACATAGTAAATAAGTATGGCCTCTGTTATTATATTAATGATTTGTAAGGTAACGTTATTTCTTATTTGAGCAATCAGGAATCAGCTGTTGTAATTACGGTAGTTAACCATGTTTAGGAAAATCACAACCAAAAAAAAAGAAACGGGACAGTAAATGTGGCGAAACGTTAACAAGTGTTTGTTTTAAACGTTGTTTCTGGGTTTTCTGTCGGTGTTCTCATTCATTGTTTTGGTCCGATCCGGTTAGCACAACCTGCTAGTAAGTAGTAGTAGGGCGTGCTTCTGCCGCATTCAATGATCTCCGAATTTTCAACAATCCGATGCACCGGCCTTAAAGAATAAAATACTCTCTTTTTTATTAAAATGCATATTGAAGTCGTATGTATATACATCACCACGTCCGTCATTTGTGGCCTCTGAAACAGTGTATAAGACAACACCAGAACCTAGATTTGTGAGTGTTAACTAAGAGATAATTCACGTTACCGTGTTTTCTGAAGGCAACATTTAGCAACACGCGAGAGCCAAAAGGAGCCACGTAGCTTGCTGGTATTTCCGTCGGTCCCTGAAAGATGGGCTTGATGGACAAGTGAATAGCGCCTGGTTTGGTTGTCCCTAATCGTAAGTAGTGCTATTTTTCAGGTGAACATTAATGTACCTCTTAAAGCAGTCGCTAGAATTCCGATACAAGCCCTAGACCGTAAATGCCATGGAAATGTGTCATCCTTCCGGGGGATATTCTCAAGCATGAGTTTACAAGGTGTGTTGCCATGCTTTTGTTGCATCAGCCGAGCCACAATAAAATATAGTTCAACTATTATGATGACGAGCACAGTAGAGTAAGACGCGGGATATATTCAATCTTTTAAACCTGCCATGCTCGGAGAGGTAGAGATGTAGAGATGTAGAGAGAGAGAGAGAGAGAGAGAGAGAGAGAGAGAGAGAGAGAGAGAGAGCTAATTGGACTAAGCAGGTAGTAAAGCCGAAGTTACAATAAACAGATCTGGGTTTATCTTCAGCTCTAGTGATCTCTTCTCAAGATGGCAAATTCAAAGCCAAATCCTCCAGATTGTCATTGTTGCATCTGTATATTTTTCTATCCGTAAATGTTTATTTTAAATTGTCAAATTTAACATGATCAATAACTTGGTATGTCACATATCACTTACATACGGGTACTTGTATATCTAAACACATACTTTTGTTACATATACCTTTTCTGGGGTACAATAAGCCCACAGTAAAATGTTGAGTGTTTGATCAAACTTAATGGTCAATTTAATGCTATTATTACATTAAATATGGAGATATCCTATTTTAGAAACAGCAAAAATACAGCCTTAGGAAGAAGGTAAGATTGACCCATTTGTACTGTGTTTGAGTTACATATTTAATTGTCTGATCAGATGTTAAAAGTGTTTGCCACTGATGATAACCAAAGAGCAATAATATAATAATATGAATAATTGCTCTTCAGTTTTCTAAATTGGTTTGCCATGGCTCTATAGAACAATTTACTGTTAAGGAAGTGGACACATAATAGTCTCTGTTGATGGGGGTCTGTTACAGTAAGCTTAGACCCTCTTGTGCAATCATATCCTGGTACTTACTGAGTGGAAGTGCTTGACAATCGTGGTGAGTCATTGTGTCCAATAAGTTGTGTTGGGAACACAGAGTGGGATAATAATGTGCTCAAGGTTTTCTCCATATGTTTTCTAACTAACTTTTCAGTTCTGTGATGGGTATGTTTACTGGCACATCCCGACATGTTGGGGTAAGATATCCAGCTGAAAGCTTATCTTTTTCCAGAATGTGTGGATTTTATTCTCTGGTGTGAGTCCTGGGAGAGTGAATAGATTTTTTTTTAATAGTCACATTTGATTTCACTGTGAGAGCAGTTCTTGGCAGCATAGCTGGTCTTTAGCCAGGTGACTTAAAGGGTTGTTAGGTTCAGTCTCAGTGGTTGGTCTGTCCACACACGCTTCCACACATACTGCAAGAAAGACACTCACATGTTTGTTTTTTTTAATGAAACTACACCGTACCATATATACACACGTATAAGTTTCTTTTTCAACAGACATTCTGTTAATAACTTGAAACATCTTAAATCCACTGTGTGTGAAGGACAAAGAATGGTTCAATGACTCTGTGCAGTCGGCCATCATTTGGCGTACCCCTGCAGGGTTATGCAAGGACGATTTACTCCACTCAGTGGACGTTTAGCCCTGCAGGGTACGAAAAAAGTTGTTCCCTTTGTTCAGCTGGTGGCCCGACAAGTGCAATTTGTGAAATCACTCTTATTATATTTTATAAAAGACAAAAGTGGGATTTAAAAAAAAAATAGATCTTAACTTTACTTACATGTACTTTTGTAAAGAAACATACAACAATCCTTTTGAGAAGTTTACATAACAAAACAAACATGTATTCATCAGTAAATACTCATTACAGGTTAATAATGTTGAACACATTTTTAAATGTAATGAATTGCCTTACAGTCAGGTGAATTATGTTTTTCAAAAATGGAGAGTTTTGTTATTAGTTTAAAGTTAATTACATTTCTGAGTTTGAGCCAATAACCTAGCTTCAGCAGAAGTCTGTGGCCGAAGTTGGAATTTTTTAGCAAATAAAAGATATTTAATAACGCTACCACTGAAAAGCATTGGATAGTTATATAACTTCAGTAACCTGCGTTGTTGTTGTTGTTGTTTGTAAATCTGCCAGTCAAAACAAAGCCATGTGTTGTTTACGTGAATGGAACTAGGAGCAGTAAAAAGGCATTCATGAGGTTAGCAGGTTTGTTACCTCAACAAATAATCCTCTTAGTGTCTGTGGCACCAGTTGCTGCATTGCTAAGTCAAGTTGCTAACAGGACTGTTATCCCTGAATCCTGCCATAACCGGAGCTAGTGTTCATGTTGTTGGTCAAAGTCCTCCAAAATAAAAATGAAAAACCTTTAGGTAAGTAGACACTTCAGTCAACTTTGGTTGTGTTATCTAAGAAAGGAATAACAACTTGCATCATTGTTTGCAGGTCTTATTCCGTTCACAGTAACAGCCACATGTTTTCATTGTAGTTACAGGAAAATGGCGGCACTCTTCTTCATGTGGTACACTGTGCGGTTTGCAGAGGGCATCTTTGTGAGCCACGCCCCTGTGTGGCATAAATCTGCCCCACTTACGCAAATGGGCACCCTCGTGAAAACCACAAGGAAAAGATTAGCAACATGCTGAGATGACAGAGGCATTGAGTAGAGTAAAAAAAAAAAAAAAGGGGGCTCTGGAAAGTCTTTAATGAGGCCAGCGTTAAATAAGGTCATACAGAAGACAGGTCTGCGTTTCTTTCAACTCATGGTGAGAACTGTGCCACAACCTTGTCCTTGGATATGACAGAAGACCTTACCTTGAAAGGGAAATCCAGTGACATTCCTCAATAAATGAATGTTACTTTTGTGTTTATTGAAGAATAAAATGTTCCCATATTTAGTTCTGGGTGTTTCACCACTTTTCCAGTTTGCATGCTTTCAGTTCAGCTCTTTTGCCCTGCCTAGCGTAGGTATGTGTGTATTGTTTGGCGTTACCTCCAGGAGATCATAGGCAGCCGGGCACATTATTAATACAAATATTTATTCACACAACATCTACACCCTCAGATCTCGGTTCCTGGTGTGCAAATGGAAAATGCTACTGTAATGTCACACCAAGTGGGAAGTCGTGGGGTCACATCCACCATGTACCAGTTTCCCATCAGTCTTCAGAGGGCTGAATGTTTATTATCGGGTTGCTCTCTGTGTTTTTATTTAATTGTTTGACTGTGTTTTGGCTTTTTTCCCCCGTCACTTTAACTGTATGAGGCAGGATATTCTCCTTTTTTGAAGTGCTTTCATATGTAGGTTATGTTATGTTAATTGTATTCATAGAACATTGTCATTGTGCTGAAACGTTAGGAGAGCTCGTATCCTGCGTGCTGTGAAGCAGAAGAGGCCAAAATTAGATTATAGCATAATATACAGCGGATTTGTATACTGTGTGACCGGAAACTTTGTGTAAAATGAACTCGTGAACCTCTCGAGGCAGTAATGCTGCTTCTTTTTTGTGTTCTTGTTGTCGCCAGGAAGTCTCAAAAGTACATGACAAATATTTACCATCAACGTTGTTTAACCACTTATGAAATAAGCATTTTGTGTTGCGTTTCTAATCATTCAGGTTTTTTAACAAATTGTCCTTTTTTCCCCGGTATTTTCTTTTCCACTGTTTGGCTGCAGCATCCTGGTATTCACCTTGTTTTATCATATACTTGATCTCACCTTTATTTTTTTAACATTGCTTGAAAGTACCTACAACTCATATTACTGACGTCTCCTGCACAGAGATTTTTTATTTTTTTTGTTGTGCCTTACCTGCCTCAGGTAGACTACCACGTTCGCACCATTTCATGCCGTCGACCTGGTTTGTGCTGCTGGTTTAGTGTTTCACTTCTTCTCTTTGCCTGAGCGGTGAGGTGACTGATGGGTCTCTAACGTTTGTCTGCTTTCTCAGCACTCAATGCCAGCGATCAGGTGTCATTGCATTAATGACTTCAGTCTCTCTGAGATGTCGCACTTCGACACTGGAATGCTCCAAACTGATAGAATAACCACAAGTGTGTTTTCAAAACGCCAAATTTAAACTTAAATCTCCTCATTAAAGCCGGTGGAGTTATTTTAATGGCACTAACTAGTGCAGGTTTTTTTTTTTTTTTTTTTTGAGGAAGTTATAATTGAATGAAATGAGTCTGATGCAAGAAATATAGGATATTTCATCAAAGACGGTGAAAATGTAGTAATCATAAAAGTAGTGTAGCATTCATAGATAACATTTGTCCTTGTCTTTTGAAGCATGCCTGCACCTAGACTGACACGTGACAACATATTAATTTATTATCTGATGCAACATCGAGTTTGCAAGAGTTTCAACAGAGTGAAGAGGAGCACAAGGACATTCTGATAACTTTAATACATATTTCTGCTCAAACTATTACTGTGTCTTTTTTACTGAAGTAAAAGATCAAAAATGATCCAAGTAATGGTGAGAAGAATACCCACTCTTATTGTCATAGCTTAATAATAAAACAATAAAACACCATGCACTGAGCCAACAGTTAGCAACAGTCACATGTTTCATGGGTCGTTCTCAGTGTTGGACTGTGGTTCCCCGTAACGTGCGTATATGAACCTTGAAACTTACAGCTCTGTTGGAAAAAAAAAAAAAAAAAAACATGGAGTCAGTGACATGTAGAAGGAGACCTAGCTCATGTTTTCTCTCAGAACAATGTTATCCCTCTGGAGAGTCATGATGTTTGCTATTTGGCTTGCAGCGTGTGAAGCATTTGATGAAGGTGGAGTAAACCCACCAGCCTAACCTGTTGAGGCAGATTATCTCTCTGACTGGCCGACGATCTCTGGAGTAATGAAAAGTTCATTTGGCTTCACAAACATGAGCAAGTTCCACATTCACTCTTAAAATCCAAACTTCACATTTTAGACGATGTTTAGAAAATCTTTGGAGCCCATTAACTCAAATATCTCTTTATGTCACTGGAACTGCCCCGGGTGTCATGCTCAACATTTTTGTGTTTGCTTTGTATGGGGTGTGTTTGTTTGGCACACACACACACAGAATGTCACTGCCCTTGATTTCTTTGGGATCTACGTCAAAGTGTGTATGTTTGTAAAGATCCATCTGGGAAACCGACCACCTCCAAAGTCGTACAGGAAACATTATGTGCCCTTTGCCAAGTGTCCCTGGCCTGTTCTCGGAACTATCATCAACAGACAGTAACTATGGGTTGCATTTATATTAACAGATATCTGTTGACTACGCCTTTTCTAATTTGATCACAACCACTCAGTCTATGTTGAAGAAGATTGTATATCAAGGCAACATAAAAATGCCATCAAACCGCTTTAAAAAAATAATGTGTGATAAGGTGTACTGAATGTAAATGTTTGCCTAAAGATGGATCCAAGTACTTTGTTCAGACACATTAACAATGAGAACAAAGAGTACGATGTAGACTTTTGTAGTGAGATCATACTTTATCTGAATTGGATTGGTCAATTATTGGAATAAACGAATTAATTTTGTTATGTAGGCCGAGGTTTATTTTTCTTGGATGCTGTGTATCACCTTTTCCCAGTTGCAGCTGGCTCGTCTTATCAAGCTGCTGGTTCACACTGTCCTCGTCTCCCCTTGTTGATATTAGTTTGCAGAATTGGACCATATCGTACCGCCACAGCCTCTGACTTTCCCAGGATTCTCCCTGTCGGCCTCTATATGTTGTGAAAACATAACACAAGTAGCAGAGTGCCCTTCCTCGCAGTGAGGGAGCGCTGTGGGATCAGGTCTTACTGCTTTCATAAGGGCGTTTTCTATGCCAGGTTTATTTACTATGGCCAAATTAAGACAAAATGTGAGCCCAGCAGGGGCTTCTTCTGACTTCACGAGGTCACTCTGGGCCCCACTGTGTCTCATGATGTGTTACTTTGTGGAAAAAGGTGCAGGTATGAATTCTTGGAAGTCGTGTAACTGGTATATGTTCAGCTTCTTGTGTAGTGTTTTTTTTTAATTCACTGTGTTTATCATCTTCTCTTCAGACCGTCTGCAAACTATTTCCTTTGTGCTTAAAAAATGATTTCAGCATCTCTGAGTTCACTTAAAATCGAGACTTTGTGCATGATATTTCACTGCAGTTTAAACACCTTTCCTGGAAATTATTCAATGTTAGAAAAAATACTATGCTGTAATCACACTGCCTGGTGCCAAACACAGCTGTGTAAAATGTAAGCTTTGGCGCTTACTGAATAGTTCCCTGTGTTGAGCTTTTGTTTTCTTGTCGTGTTTCTCTCACAGGTCATAAGCTGTTCACTGGAACTCAACTGACAGTTGCATAAGTCGACACACCTACACCGGAGGACCTATAACAATCAAGTTTACCTACCCTTTTGTGAAAGTACTTCTACTCTCAGTGCTGTCACACGTGTTGTGTCAATCACACACACAGCCACACTAGAAGGATTTAAAACACAAAGCCTGTTTTCGGCGCCCACACACAATCACAGCAAACATGGTCAGCAAGCTGTCCAACTTCGGCAAATCCCTGCTGCGTCGCCGGGCATTAAACGACTCCGGCGAAGAGTCCCAATTTGCCCGCTGTCTGTCCACGCTTGACCTCATCGCCTTGGGGGTGGGCGCCACGCTCGGCGCCGGTGTCTACGTCCTCGCTGGCGAAGTCGCCCGGGAGAAGGCGGGCCCTGCCATCGTCCTCTGCTTCCTCATCGCTGCCCTGTCCTCCATGTTAGCCGGCCTGTGTTACGCAGAGTTTGGCGCCCGTGTACCCAAAACCGGCTCTGCTTATCTGTACAGCTATGTGACAGTGGGAGAAATCTGGGCCTTCATCACAGGGTGGAACCTCATCCTCTCCTATGTGATAGGTGAGCTCCTTAAATTCTGTGTTTGTGTTTATGTTGTGTTTGCTGTTGATGTAGCAGCAACGCAGATCAGTTACGTTTATTACTTAAGAAAAAGACCCACATAAGAACCATAGTTCTCTCAAGTCAACACTTCTTTGGTTTTAAAATTTGTCTTGTGCTTTTAGGAACGGCCAGTGTGGCCCGGGCTTGGAGCTCAACTTTTGATAACCTGGTTGACCAAAAGATCTCAGGCTTCTTTAAAGCCTTCATGTCGATGAAGGTTCCAGGAGGGGTCCTGGCAGAGTACCCAGACCTGTTCGCCCTGATCCTCATCCTGCTGCTCACTGGTGAGTTAGCCTGTTCCTTTATTCTTCTCACTGTCCATTTTTGGGTCAAGATCTTCTCTGAGGGGGGTTACGAGATGTATTTGAAAGATTTCAAGATGATAAAAACAATACATTGATTTAAAAATAATTCAAATAAAAACTGTCACTTTAATAGGACATGAAGGGCACTTTGATAAACAGTAAATCATTTCCACAGTTATCTAAATTCTCTAGTTGGAATCAAGCTTTTAAATGTAAATCAATAGAGGCATTGTAAAAGCAACCCATCAAAACTTCCTTCATTTAAAAACTCTTTCATGATGTCAACATAAGCACTGTGATAACATCACAGCTTGAACAGTTGTCACACTAACATGGCAGCTAGAATGGCATGTGAGAGAGTGTTAGAAAAGAAAAAAATTGGAGGACTGTTATCGTTGACTGATGGCATGTTGGACGAAATGAAATCATGAACAGGTCCACCCCCGTAGCAGGACATGATGTTATTGGTGTTGAAATGTGAGTTCTCTCTTCATTGTTACATCTCTCCCTTTGCTCCCCTCAGGACTTCTGGCCTTTGGCGTCAGCGAGTCAGCTCTGGTGAACAAGATCTTCACAGGCATCAATCTGGTGGTTCTGGGCTTCGTCATCATCTCTGGCTTTGTTAAGGGCGACACAGCCAACTGGAACCTGACGGAGGAGGACTACATCCAATTCATAAACAAGAGCAACGGCAGCCTGCCTTTAAAGTACAGTAATTAAAAGCAGCATCTGGCAGAAATGTAACTTCTATTTTTTTTTTAAATCTTGTTTGATTATTAAAAATCTGTCTCTTCTTCTACCATGTAGGGTGAAGGAAGACTTCGGCGAGGGTGGTTTTGCTCCATTCGGCTTCAGCGGGGTCTTGTCTGGTGCTGCTACCTGCTTCTACGCCTTTGTGGGCTTCGACTGCATCGCCACGACAAGTAAGAGGTTTTACAAAAATGTATATTTTTTTAATAGATTATAGTCATTAGAATGCCTCCATCATTACACACACACACTCTCTGCACCACTAAAAAAAACAAGTCACACCAGTGAAAGTAAGTGGTAATCAGGATCTGTTGTTAGCTTTTGTTTGTTACTGCAGGTGTTTGAACGCAGTGTTTGAAAACTGACTGACTCAGATCCCATGTGGTGACATGTGCAAATGTTGATAGCCTGTCTGTGTATCTGTAGATCCCTGTGGGATTTAGAAAAAGATCCTCCAGCTAATGGGAACCTTTACTCAATATCTTTACTCAACCTTTACTCAACGAGTAGCTCTGTGACTCAATCCAAACAAATGGCTCCATCTTAAAACAGACAGAATGTGACTATTCCATGTTGTTGTTTTTTTCATTTTATAAAACACAACTTCATCCTTTTAAAGGGAGACTAATTGAGGTACTTTTTTTTTCTTTTTGAGCAAAAAACAGTTGAAACATTTCAAAAAGAGGTCAGAGGATTTGATAGTGCTGGGCTGTTGTAGCTTCTGCTTCCTGTATTGAAAGAGAGTGTTATGTAACTTTTCAACTGAAACAGATCTATATCTCTTTGTCCTGCTTCATATCTTCTTGTATAATTTTCTCTGTCCTCAGGTGAAGAAGCAAAGAACCCAATGCGTTCCATACCCATCGGCATTGTGGCCTCCCTGCTTATTTGTTTCTTTGCCTACTTTGGTGTGTCGGCTGCTTTGACCCTGATGATGCCGTACTACATGCTGGACTTCCAGAGTCCTCTACCCGAGGCCTTCACCCATGTCGGCTGGGCTCCAGCCAGATACATTGTGGCTGTGGGCTCTCTCTGTGCTCTGTCCACCAGGTAAAGGCAGATATGGTTTTCTTGCCCTAATGTAAAGCTCTAAACACACCTTTCTGATACTAAATCCGGTTGTTATCTCAGTCTCCTAGGCTCTATGTTCCCCATGCCCCGTGTTATCTACGCCATGGCCGAGGACGGGCTGCTGTTCCGTATCCTCTCCAGGATCAATCGTCGCACCAAGACTCCTCTCCTCGCTACCATCGCTTCTGGCATCGTTGCAGGTAAGCTTTTCCTCTCTATTTGTCTTCTTTACAACTTGTGTTTTTTCTCCTCTTTATAATTGTGTCCATATTTATCTTTTTTTTGTATCTTCCCCGCCTTGTTTGTTCATTGCTTCAGGCAGAAAGCTCTCTTTTTGCTGTGTCTATCTTAGGCTGTCAAGTCTGTCTCAGGATTCCATCTCCTGTCTCAGCTCTATCTATTAGCCTGTCCTGACCTGCTATCCATTCAGGATCAATAGCACTTAAATCCTCAGAAAAGTCTAAACTAAAAAAAGCTGCTTGGCATGCTCGGTTTTCTTTTAATGCTGTGAGCAGTCTGACCTGTTAAACGTCTAAATGTTCCTCATTTTGAGTTGTATATTTATGCTACTGTGTAAATATTCTAATAAAACTTTCTTTTTATAGCTCTGATGGCCCTCCTGTTCGACCTGGCTGCTCTGGTTGACCTCATGTCTATTGGAACTCTGTTGGCGTACTCTTTAGTGGCCATATGTGTCCTTATCCTCAGGTAAGCAGGCACTTTTGATTCTCTGCTAGCACAGTCCCGATGGTCCTCTGTAGTTTTAATCATGTGTTTAATACCCGCTGCTGTACATATTTGCATTGCCAAACAGAAAAAAAGGCTTAGCTTTTATTTAAGAGTTGTGTGTTCCACTGATCCTGGTCAGGCAATACTGACAGCGATCACATCACATCCACACAGGCTATAGGATAATTCAAAAATAAACATACTTATTTAAGCCCATCTGTTTTGCATCTGCCATGCTTATGTGTAGATATGTGAATGAAACTTCTCTTCATTTTTAATTGAGTCCACACTTCTGTCCCTCCACAGGTACCAGCCCAGCACTCTGAATTCACCCAGCCAGACGGAGAAGCTGGTGGAGCTGGTGCAAGGGGAGAAAGTGCCGGTGAACGGCGTGGACAGCGGTGACGAGTATGACGACACGCCGCTCAACGAGCCTTTCACCATCAAGCTGCTCTTTTGTCCGAGCGGAAAGAACCCGACGCAGACCTCTGGGACCATTGTCTACGCTACCACTGCTATCATCTGTAAGAAAATGATGCTTGCAGAAGATTTTTATTTATATTTTACAGAGAGTATTTACAGCATGAGATCCATTTTCAGTCACAAGTAAAAGTAACTCTCTCTACCTCTCCTCTCCCTGCAGCTGTTCTTATCACCTTACTGTGCGTAGTCATGGCCAACTGTCTGACAGAACTGCTGGCGGGGAAGCCACATGTCCTGGTGCCCTGTGTCATACTGACTCTGCTCTGTGCCGTCTGTGTCATCATCATCTGGAGGCAACCAGAGAGCAAAGAGGCCCTCACCTTCAAGGTTAGGCTCAAACACTCAGAATACACCCTTAGTTTGACTAAAAAGTCTCTTTTTCTTTGTCTTTAGTTGTTTTTGTTGTAGCTTTTAGTTGCAGCAGGGAGGCTAAGCTTTGCTTTGGCACGCTGTTCCCTGATTACTGATCATTTTAAAAATGCTGACCTTTTTTCTACAACCTCCTTTATCTGTCCTCTCAAGGTCCCTCTGCTTCCCTGGTTGCCACTCTTCAGTGTTTTTGTCAACATCTACCTCATGATGCAGCTCGACTGGGGTACATGGTGCCGCTTCGCCGTCTGGATGTTCATCGGTACAGTAAAAGATTTTGATCACTTTTCAAGTTTTCTTTTCTAGCACCAGACATTGATGTAGTTGATTTTTAACTCTCTCCGTTTCCTCTCTCTTGACCTCCAGGTTTCGCTATCTACTTCTTCTATGGTATTAGGAACAGCAGCGAAGCTGCTAACAGGTCGTCCCCTCGCAAATATGAGCCCGCGCTGCAGAACAAGAGCCCGATTTACACCGGGGCTCCCGGTGACAGTGACATGGAGGCAGGCAGCAGTCCCTGATGAAGACTCCTGAGGACTTGGGGAGTGTTGCAGAGCACTCTACACGCGCCTGAAACACAGTCCTGGGTTGTAGAGAAGAAGAGGCAAGAAAACCCCCTCCGCCCCACACATCTTACCTCTGAGTCTGAGGCTGATTAACCTAATGGCTGGACACTGTGACAGTCTGTTTGTTAGCCTTAACCCCCCTGAAGACCTGCTAGTAACACATGCTTTGAATGGAACTTACTAAAAAGAGTACTGCTGTACTTCTGCTGATGATCTCTCCCCACTAGTCTGGAGCCATTTACTGGAAGAATGTTGCATGTTTTTATTTCGTCTTTAGTTCCTCCTTTATCTGTTTGCCATGGCAGAGTGTGAAGCCACGGGAGCTGAATAAGAACTACAATGTTAAACATCCCTAAGAATAATGTCTTGAACCACTGAGTTTACTGTTACGATACTTGGATCAGTGAGCTAGACTGTAAACTGTATCAGAAACATGAGTAGCTTTCAGTGGAGTTTAGATTGTTGGTTCTTGTTTGTTGCAGTTTGTTTATGTGTAAACAGGGTATGGCTGAGACTGGTGTTTACAGAATCAGTCAAAAGAACATGTCGATTCTTGTACGGTGCAGTACGTACATAGATTGGACGAGTTTATAACACCCCATGACCTTTTGCCCGCCTGTTTCAAGAGAACAGACATCGTCATTTTTTCAATGTCCTGTTTTTTCTTGCATATAGACACTATAGAAAAAGTATTTGAAGGCTTTTATGGCCTTAACCACTACAGTTTGAAATGACAAAGGGCCAACTTGTCCACAAATTACAGTAAAAAAAGAAAAACAGAGAAGAAAGCAGTAGATTTATAATCTGCTTTACTTTAATGGGTGCTATGGGCTAAGCTGCATCATTTATTAGCACAAAGATATACTTATTCTCCTTCTATGATTGGATGAAAGAGTTCTTTTCATCACCAGTTTCCATCGACTTATTCCGTACTTGCACATCTCGGCGTGATGCTTTTCATGGCTGTATTCAAGATATATTTGCAGATCTTAGGAGGTTGAAAGATTTGCACTTAGCTTGACGCGACTGACTCGTTCTTCTGACAGGCCAACGAGTTTCATTACATCATTTTCGTAACAACATCTGTCCACCTCCATCAGATCCACTTTGGTGTCTGGGAGCTGTGTGTCTATTTCTAAACAAAAGGCCTATTTTTAATCATCACCAAAATATCTCCTTCAGTCTTTTTTTTTTTTTCACTTCCTTGTGAAAATTCTTAATTGGTTTTTCACAATTTCTTTCTTAGTTTCAATTGAAACTTCTTCTTGGCAGCTTTGCCCCTTTAGTTGTATTTCATTCGTACTACTTTTCCTCACATTTTCTGCTAGAAATGTATATTTAAATGTTCATAGTATTTGTTTGGGATAGCTTTCTTTCTTATTTATGTCTTTCCACATTAATTTCAATCAATTAACATGCTTTTTTTAGATGTATTTTAATCGTTACATGTACAGTTTTTAGTGTGCCTATATTTGTTGCTTCTATGCTCCCCCCCTTGTATATACTGTATGTATATTGTTTTAAAATGTCTTGTATCACCAATGAGTTTAATATGACATGTTCTAATCCCTCCTGACCAAATGAACACGACAAAGAACGACTACCAAAGTTGGTCTCTAAATTCTGTAATTTAAACGAGAACGGTTTACCCCGACCCTTTAGAGTCATATAACTTATTGTTAATAGAGTTTTTATTGTTCTAGTAAAGTGCTTTACTGTAGATTGTACAGTACGTACTTGTTGAATCTTGATTTGTATAATGCTGTAAATTATACAAATGTCAGATCCCCTGAAGTGTAATTTGGTAAGTTTTGTAAACGTCTCTGAAGCATTTCATTCATCAAGTCCTATTTTTCATATGGATGTAATATAGAAGCACATCTGCAGACGCTTCAGAGATGGCCCTAACACGTCTTCATTGTTTGTAGAAAATGCTCTTCTGTAAGACCTGTCAAAAGTCGACATATCTCTTTTAGCATTTATGGCAATGTAAGGGTACTGTAAAGGTAGAAGTAGACTCAGCAGATGTTTCGGGTGGATGTGAATCAATGAATCGGTGACTACTGAAGCGTCCTTTCTACCTGACAGAGGGCACAGGGGCTGGAGGAGTGCAGCTGTATATCATTTATCAGAACTTAATGAGCTGCTGTCCCCGTCATGGATCAAATGTTATCTGAGCTTCAGAACTGTCTCTGCAGATTTGAATGTAAAGCTTTTCAATCCAAGCCCTCGTGCCTTTCAATAATCATCTGCCCCTTTTAGTGCTGCCACTAACGGCAACTCTTTTTTTCTGTTTTACATACTGTACATATTGTCCTATGTAAATGAACTTTATTTTCAATGTTGTTGTTTTTTAATAAAACTAATTCATGCTTATGGGTAGCCTATGTTACTTTGTCTGTTTTCAAAGCAGAGAAATGTTCTCAGTATGAGCTCCGAGCCAGAGGCTGTCTGAGCTCATTTAACTAAGTTAACTATCTTCTCTTAGTTACAACATGACTTTACCCTATGGCTGTTTTACTCACTCTATGACTTTTGACATAAATCCTGCAGCTACAGACACAGCAACCATTAAGTTCTCACATGTAAATCAATGGTTATTTAACGGTGAAGGATTATATCATGAAGACGTACAAAGTCGATTAGTGATCAGTATCTGGGGTTAACTAGATAATTTCAGGTACTTGTGAGCAGCGCTCTATAAACTAGAGGAGATATTATTTATAAGTCTTATAAATGATAAAAAAATTCAACTCTTCGAGTCTTCTACGCTGCTCCAAAACAGTCGCTCACATAGCAACCGAGGTTTATTACTCTGCCAACAGCAACAGATGTTTTAAAACAGTGAAGAGCTGATTTCAGGTAATTTATCTTAATGTCATCTGTTGGTGAAGTTGGTTCATTTTTGTTATTCTTTAAAAAAGAAAATTAGAAGCTTATCTAGACCAGTGTTTCTCCCCTGGTGGGTCGGGACCCAAATGTGGGTTGCAGGGCCATCATTGTCACGTTTTTTTACTGTCTGAGGTCCAAACAACACAATTTTTCATTGAACAAATCTGATTGGTTGAAAATTGGTGGTAGGACCTGAGGCTAGACCAGTTGAGAACCACTGATCAAGTCGAATGGTCTTTTTTTTTTTTTTTCAGATGTAGTTTTACGAGGCTTCCTTGAGTAACTTTTTTATTATCTTCACCTGATTTTAATTATTAGTCATGAGTTTGTATTAAATAGCATGAATGACTAAACAGAGGATTCTTTTGGTAAAATGAATGACTACTTCATTCCTTTAATTATATTCTGTATTTGTAGTAATCCGTGTTAAATTCATATAGTCTCTATACTGTATAAACTCTTTCCTTTTACTATGTTAATCTATAAAAATGTTATCAAAGCTATAAGAAACAAACACTTGGTGGTAAAGTTATATTTTATAAGGATAAGCTTGTTGTGAAGTCCTCCATACCTCTAAGGTGCTTTAAACAACAGACTCCAGCACAGAGGCATAGAGTACAGTACACGAGGAGGGAGAGGAGATATGTACGCAGTCATGGGGATTCTAGTGGGTGAAGACATGGCAGTGTGTAATCAGTACAGAGCCATGATGGCAGGCCTGATCACTGTCCACCTGCAGCCATCAGGAGATAGTGATCTGTCTAGCCCAAAGGGACGTCTATAACTAAAGAGCAACTTGTTTACTGTTTGGTATGAGTCATAAGTGGTCTGTATGCTCTCTGTCTAAGTGTGTTTTTAGTTTATGAAATATTTCTAAATTGTCGTTTTAATGAGCTATGTACAGCACTTTGACTGAAAACGCTATACATACTTTTTGTTATTATTACATCTTGATAAAACTGCTTTGGTTGCACATCTTCTGTAGTTCAGGCTACATTCACAGGGCAGCATGATCCTGAAGCTATCCCTGTCCTCCCAGTCTTATGACTCTTTGTGCAAGTTGTATTCATGTGTATGTGTGTGACACACCGGGCCATCGTGCATAGGTGTCCTTTTGATCTGCAGAGTCGTCCGTTTCTTAGTTTGGGGAATGTATAAAAGCAGAGACTCTGACAAGTGCAATTAGCTCAGCTTCAGCACTGCTGCGGTTCACATGAACTGTATGATAATGGACCTTTTTTAATAAATTCACAAAAACCAGCTCCCTGGGTTGACGACTTTTATTGAATTCTGCCTTCAGATCATCATGAGCTCATTTAACTAAGTTAACGATCTTCTCTTAGTTACAACATGACTTTACCCTATGGCTGTTTTACTCACTCTATGACTTTTGACATAAATCCTGCAGCTACAGACACAGCAACCATTAAGTTCTCACATGTAAATCAATGGTTATTTAACGGTGAAGGATTGTATTTGAAATGATGAAGTCGTTATTCATGAAGAAGAATGAAGACGTACAAAGTCGATTAGTGATCAGTATCTGGGGTTAACTGGATAATTTCAGGTACTTGTGAGCAGCACTCTATAAACTAGAGGAGATATTATTTATAAGTCTTATAAATAATAAAAAAATTCAACTCTTCGAGTCTTCTACGCTGCTCCAAAACAGTCGCTCACATAGCAACCGAGATTTATTACTCTGCCAACAGCAACAGATGTTTTAAAACAGTGAAGAGCTGATTTCAGGTAATTTATCTTAATGTCATCTGTTGGTGAAGTTGGTTCATTTTTGTTATTCTTTAAAAAAGAAAATTAGAAGCTTATCTAGACCAGTGTTTCTCCCCTGGTGGGTCGGGACCCAAATGTGGGTTGCAGGGCCATCATTGTCACGTTTTTTTACTGTCTGAGGTCCAAACAACACAATTTTTCATTGAACAAATCTGATTGGTTGAAAATTGGTGGTAGGACCTGAGGCTAGACCAGTTGAGAACCACTGATCAAGTCGAATGGTCTTTTTTTTTTTTTTTCAGATGTAGTTTTACGAGGCTTCCTTGAGTAACTTTTTTATTATCTTCACCTGATTTTAATTATTAGTCATGAGTTTGTATTAAATAGCATGAATGACTAAACAGAGGATTCTTTTGGTAAAATGAATGACTACTTCATTCCTTTAATTATATTCTGTATTTGTAGTAATCCGTGTTAAATTCATATAATCTCTATACTGTATAAACTCTTTCCTTTTACTATGTTAATCTATAAACTATAAGAAACAAACACTTGGTGGTAAAGTTATATTTTATAAGGATAAGCTTGTTGTGAAGTCCTCCATACCTCTAAGGTGCTTTAAACAACAGACTCCAGCAAAGAGGCATAGAGTACAGTACACGAGGAGGGAGAGGAGATATGTACACAGTCATGGGGATTCTAGTGGGTGAAGACATGGCAGTGTGTAATCAGTACAGAGCCATGATGGCAGGCCTGATCACTGTCCACCTGCAGCCATCAGGAGATAGTGATCTGTCTAGCCCAAAGGGACGTCTATAACTAAAGAGCAACTTGTTTACTGTTTGGTATGAGTCATAAGTGGTCTGTATGCTCTCTGTCTAAGTGTGTTTTTAGTTTATGAAATATTTCTAAATTGTCGTTTTAATGAGCTATGTACAGCACTTTGACTGAAAACGCTATACATACTTTTTGTTATTATTACATCTTGATAAAACTGCTTTGGTTGCACATCTTCTGTAGTTCAGGCTACATTCACAGGGCAGCATGATCCTGAAGCTATCCCTGTCCTCCCAGTCTTATGACTCTTTGTGCAAGTTGTATTCATGTGTATGTGTGTGACACACCGGGCCATCGTGCATAGGTGTCCTTTTGATCTGCAGAGTCGTCCGTTTCTTAGTTTGGGGAATGTATAAAAGCAGAGACTCTGACAAGTGCAATCAGCTCAGCTTCAGCACTGCTGCGGTTCACATGAACTGTATGATAATGGACCTTTTTTAATAAATTCACAAAAACCAACTCCCTGGGTTGACGACTTTTATTGAATTCTGCCTTCATATCATCATTTTTGCAGTATTTTACACCAGAAGTAGAAAGATAATGTGTACAGTGTGCAAGGCTTTTCATTTTAGTTTTATTTCACATGTGTTGGATTGGTACTGGGAATTAAATGATTTGCAATTTCAGGGTCAGGATGATCGGTATAAGGACGAAAAAAATGTAATCAGAACATCTGTGATGCCCCTTAGCTTTCACAAGCTGACAGCTGGTTTATTGAATCGTTGTTTCTAATCAGTATCATGCCTCTTTTCTTATCCCTAGAGAAATGAAAGGAGCACTGGCCTAAATGATATCCACTTGTCACTAATTTTCCATACTTACCTAAACCTTTTGATCGCCCAAGCTATAGCAAAACATCAAATTCTGTGAGAATATTGTGTCTGTCGATGTCCAGTGGGACACACAGATCTGGTAATGTTTCCTGTGCTCAAGAAATCAGCCCTGTTTTCAGTTTTATGACGATTCATTATCCAGCTAATCCATTTGTGTGTGATATGTTTGTGAGAGTGTGGCTGTGGGGAAAGAGGGCAAGCTTAAGAAAAGAACATTTTAAACCAATAAAAGATGACTTTGTCCTTCAGCTCATCGGGAAAAAAATAAAAATTCAAACAGTTGTATATACACATCATGAAAATGTTAAGTGAAAAAAAAGGACCTCAAATGTCACTAAGTAGGAAACTACTTTATCCCAACACTTCTAAAATAAAAAAACAGGACGATCCTTTTTTCTTACTGCACATTAAGGCTGCCATCTAGAGGTCGCACACAGCGCTACATCCTTCTCTAGCTGAGGCCAATAACTACTACCCGTTCCATACATAATGTCTGAACAAAGAGCTACAGGAACCTCCAAGACAGACCTTTAACAATGTCTCCAGGCCTTTGTTATTATGGATGACATTTGTGCTATGACGGGCTTAGAAACGACATGGAACAGACGTCTTTGTTAAACTTGGGCTTAAATAAATAATTAACATATTTTGTGAAGTGATGACCATGTTTTCCCTTCACTTAACAGTTGAGACCTTACTATTCACATCATTGACATGCAGTTTATCTCAAGACAGGAAGTGAAATGAGTGTTGTAGGCACTCAAAAGAGACACTTCCACTGGAAATGTCAAAACCATTCCTGTGTTTCGAGAGTTAAAGTAACTTGTTGGACTGTTGGAATTATCCTTAACTGTTTACTTTTAATATTGCGAAATGTTTTGTCAAAGTGCGAAATTCATAAATACATGCGTTGTAAGCAGAAGTGTGAGAATGGATGATGTGTTATGTTTGAAAGATGATATGATGGCCAAAGTGTTCATTATTAAATAAATGAAGAATGAGTTAGAAAAGTATTTTTCATAACTTTCAGCATTTATCAGTCAAGCAATTGATTCAGAATTTCTCCAAGTGAATTTTATTTTATATATTTATTTTAAACAATGCCTTGTTTATTTTTCTTGTATTGTCGATGACAGACGTTATGTAGGAGAGCATTTGTTCAGCAAGCGTCACAGACAAGAGGCATGTGATTGGCTGAAAGGTTTGAGGGATGATGATCATGGTTAAATAGTAAAACTAAAGATGTGTGAAAAGGGGCATTTTGAAATAAAAACGTCTTTAACTGAATAAAAACGTAATCAAGTTAAACTATGTTATTCACATAGGCAGGAAAAGACTTCACTGACCATTTTTTAAGCAGTTATCTCAAGACCCAGAAAGAGATTAAAGCTGTAAATGTCAAACCAAGAAGAACCTATGATTGATAAATGTATTATATAATTCTTCAATTATTTTTCAGTACTGAATCCTCCTCATCTGTCATCACCGTTAGGACAGGTTCAGTTAGGTGACTTTATTTGAGTGAGCGAGACAGTTGCCTTGAAATGAATTTAAGGTGAGATGAAATGAACCAGACATTCATTTTTTAATTCTCCATAGTTACTGTATGTTGTGAAATCGAGGAAAAAAAAAAAGGTTGTTTTGTGTGATAAATGATCATGTTTGTGCACACATCCAGGCAAAATGCGTACAGGTGCAGGACAAGAAAAGTGCTAACTGCAGAAAATATAGAAAGGTCCGCACACTCTTCAGCTAGCAACGGGCAATTTAATATAAACAGGGCAACGTCTCCCTCGGCCTGAGGAAGATCCATAGATCAAAACGTTTCCCTGTTCGATTAAAATGTCCAAAGATAAATCAAATACCTTGGGACAACTTTCAATTAAAAATCTATTAACTTGTGATTTTGAGATAACAGCATATATATATTGGACACTTTGGGCTTCCATACAAAAGGCATATATTGGTGTAACGCGAACAGAAACTAAACACAAACTTGGTAGTTACCTTATTAATATCAGCATCCTTGCTATAATGGATTTAGAATGGCTATAAGTAAGCAGCTACAGTCGACTTTTCTTTTCAGAAAACAAATGTACCAAATCAACATTTTCACAGTGCAAACTCCTTCTCCAGCAGTCGTTAGCAGGTCACAGCCAGACAAACAAACACCTCACCACCTCTTCTGTTTGTGTTCACTTCCATCATCCTTCACTCGTGTTATGCAGAAAGCCACTTGGATTCGTTGTGCAGCACAGTCGGTGAAAATCTCTTCCTGTCTCTTCACCGCACGGTATTCAGAGTGTGACGCATGACAAAAGAAACATGGCTCAGACTTGGCGTCACTGATTCAGATTGAAATGAACATCGGAGTATTAACACACAACACTGAATGCATCAGTCTCAAAAGACATGTGCAGCCACAACATAACTGGCCACTGGAGAATAACTGTACACATCAGGAAAAGGCCAAGAAGTGTGTTAAAGCTGAAGTGTTGGTAACAGCTGCAGGGTTATTAAAGTCACATACACATGCACACGCAACAGTGAGGGGGAGGGGGGGGGGATTTCTTGTGCTTCTACGCCTTTTAGGAACATCAACAAAGTGTCTTAGGTTTGGACAAAGCCAGAAACAGGCACCAGAAGAGAAAACAATGTATTATATATAGAAGTAAAGTATGTAACTGAGCAGGGAAACTTTATGAGCCCCCCCAGAAAAAACTAGCCTGATAGCAGTCGAGGTGAGAGGGATCTCTTACTGATGGAGTCCGAGTATTACCGCCTGTCCCCCTTCATGCTGCATACAGGTCAATCAGCAGAAGCACTGCCGGCTGCCCTTGGTGACCTCCTCTGAGGAGTGGATGGTGTTGGGAACAAATCCACTCTTCACGCCCTCCCATCCATCCTGAATCTTGATGTCCCCATTACGAACCAGGTCGAAGATGTCCCTCGTCAGATCCACAAATGCCTTAGAAAGAGGAAACAGATGACAGAAAGTAAAAGGATCAGAAATCGGAATCACTCACAGGCATAGAAATGGAAGTTACTGTAAGCAGCAGAAATACAGGAATGGCACATTTATGAGTACGGGAGCACTGTAGTGACATGTGTTGACGAATCTTTCAGGGTTTCATAAGAAAGGAAACAGACACATCATAGTGTCATGCCTGCTAGGATTTGAGGAATTAGTTCTTTTTTTCATTGAGCAGCTCGTGATGATGATGATGAGCAATCTATCGACATCTTAAGTTTGATATTGTAGTACACCATCGAAAAACTACTTGTATAATTTCATTAGCTGGGAAGGCTGAGCATAATTGTGCTTGAGACATTGGTTGGTAAGTGTTAAAACATTAAACACTTGTTAATTATGTCAACAAATGTGTTGTCTTGAGATAGCAAGCTTTTTTCCAAAATAACAAAATAATGAGTCCATGATCTAAAAAAAAAATATATCTATAGAATTTTAAAATAATTGTAAGAATTCTTGGCTTGTATGTCAGGAGTGATAAACCCAATTCAAATGCTTTTAACATTAGCACAGTCCTTAGGGTACATGTGTATGTAAAAGTGCATTCTAATAAAAGTATTTGAGTTTCAATCTAAACCAACTAAGCCATCATGACTGTAGCTGATCATCTATTCAATCGTTACATAATGATTGTAGTAAGCAGTAAGTGATGGTATTTTTGTTTTCTCGGTACGAACTACAACATTGGATGCCAGTCAACAAAAGAATCTGTGAACTCATCTATGTAACTTTGTATTCTAAACATCAGGTTTGTTTAAAAAGTTACTCAAATGTTGCTTTAGTTGAAGATCAAACCTTCATTTCTCTTGATTAGTATTTTCAGTATAAAGGTGGTGGTGAAGATAGAGAAGCTCATCCACACCTTCTCCACGTTAATGGCTTCTCGTGCGGATGTCTCCACGTAGCGCATCCCGAAGGCCCCCGCCAGTTTCTCTGCCTCCTGCTGGGTCACCTGGCGCTGGGCCTCCAGGTCACACTTGTGACCCACCAGCAGGAAGACGATGCTGTGCGGCTGGACATGGCTCTGCGCCTCCTCCAGCCAGTTATGGACGTTCTGGAAGGAGCGACGGTTTGTGATGTCAAAGAGTAAGAGCCCGCCCACAGAGTTACGGTAGTAGGCTCTGGTGATGGACCTGGATTGACAGATATATTGACAAACAACAGAGACTTCTGTTATTTTCCAAAAACACACAAATAAATCACAACCTTCTAAGTTACTTTGACCTTAAATGTCTTAACACTTTTTTTTTTTATGGATGGATGGCAAGAAGGTTGAAAGAGATTAAGTGAGAGTTCTGTCTTTACCTGAACCTCTCCTGTCCTGCAGTGTCCCAGATCTGTAGTTTGATCCTTTTGCCCGGCTCAATCTCCACCAGGCGGGAGAAGAAGTCGACACCCACGGTCGGGTCTGACACCTGGGCGAAGCGACCCTCAGTGAACCTCCGGATCAGACACGACTTACCGACCGTGGAGTCTCCGATGACGATCAGACGAAACTGATAAAGCCATATCGTCTCCATGTTTCACTGAAATCAAATCTGTAGAAAAAAGTAATTATGATTATATCAGGGTTGTTACAGCCAACCTACACTGAAAAGAACTGACTCTGATTCCAATTATTGTAAAGAACAGCACGTTACAAACTATGAAGATTTAATTGTCTAACCAACATTGATTCTATTGATCCTTTGATCAACTAATCCATAAATTGTTTCAGTTTAACCAATATCACTTCATGTGCTTTTTGATCGTTTTTTGATTAGGCGACTTCTTTTTTTTTTTTTATCTCATAGCTTTAATTTCTTATGACCCTGTTAAAAAATATAAATGTCAAATTTTTTTGGAGCTCATTAGAGAACACAAATCCCCTGCAGAAATCAGCTTTACATTTTTTTATTTATTTTTTTTAAACATGGTGACTCTGGACCTTTAACAACATCCCACATTTGAAGCTAAGAGACAATGAGGGAAAATGTGATTACGGCAGTCCTTAAATCAGAATCAGAATCGGGGGTTTATTGCCAAGTACATTTACACATACAAAGCATTTGACTTGGTGTATTGGTGCTAAACAATTAACAGGGAAATAAAGCAGAACTAGCAACAACTTCTTGAAATGAAACATAAGGAAACCACATGATAATCATTTTATTTTTAAAATAAAACATTATGTCCAGTGGGCAGTACAGCAGATCACACCCCTCCTCTTTAGAAACAGAGGATGTGTTTAAATAGATTCAGAATAACCACTAATATGCAATTCATCCACAGACTGTGTTGACCGCATGGATAATTCATGGTCATCATGAGCTGACTCTTACTGGATCAAATCATCTCAGCAAAAGGGGTCCATGTGATTTACAGTTGGGTGATCTAATTTTGGGGCTAGGGAGGGGGGGGGGGGAGGGGGAGACCACTCCTCTCCAGCTCAATAAACATTGGTGTAGTCAGCCCCCATGTGGATGGCACATTGGTTGTTATTCACCACTGACACAATGAGGCCTTGAAGCTAACCAGAAATGAGCTTGTAGCAGAGATAACTGCTGCACATGACTGCAAATTAATATAGAGAGAAACCACTTCTGATAACAAGACAAGACAAACACTAACCCCTTACCCTCACCCTGCATTAATACAAAATAACGATTAGCCTACATGTTAAAACATGAGGCCCAGTGCACTTAGCATAGGCTACTGTCAATGTGAGCATGATGCACTTCAATAGACAGCAACAAGCTAATAAAAAACACTCAATAAGGACTTACCATCAAGTAAAGAGCTCAGTACCTGTGGAAAGCAAAGCCCATGTCGATGCTTATCCTCCAAAGATGATTCTCCGGACAAGCAGGGTTTCTCCTATTGCTAACAGAGATACCCTGCCTAGTTTAGGTCCTTTCTTTGGTTTTTTTTATTATTTTTTTATTTTTTTTAAAAGATTATGCCAACCTGTGTTGTGTTCAAATAGTTAGAACAGAATTATTCATGCAGCTCAGTTGATATTTCGGTGGAGATGCACGGGTAGAAATGGCAGCAGAGCACAATAGCATCTAACGAACACATCTCCTCCTCGCCCTCATCAGCACCATTACCGTAACTGGGCAACAGAAAGCGCACCAGTGATCCCAAGCGTCATAGATATAGAGCTCACATTTTACATTGTGTGCAAGTTTAGAGGTTACCTGAGTTACATAACGTTTTACAGAGTAAAGACTCACCTTTCACCGCTCTACAATTATGTAGCAGAGGATTTGTTCGGTAAGAATAGCCCATTATATAATCAGTCTAAATTGTATTCCATGTAATTGTCACATGGTATAAAGTTGTTTAAATAATTATTATGCTTTTGTTATAGCCTATATGAATATTACAGCATTTTATACCGTGAATATAATAATTTTCTAAAATGAGTACCTACTTTTGTGACATATTATGCGTTGCTCTAAATACCTTTGTGTTGTGTACTAAAATAACATTTGGAATGGATGACGTTTGTGTGAAAGTTTGTACTGTGGTATTGATTGCCTTACTTCAGCAAAGGTCCTACTAGAAAAATGCTCCACATATTCTGAAGCTGGTTTTGACGAGGAGCGCTTGAACGCACCAATTAACAGCAGTTGTATAGAGTTGCGTTGAGGAGCAGCGTGACTGTCGTACAGTAAACAGATGCAGACAGCCTGTCATATTTCATTAAAAGGGTGGACTGTAGTGATCGTAAGCAGTCTGGGCAGCTTCCTTCGCAAATCCACATGATTTTGGATCATACTTGTTTTTTTTTTTTAGCGCACTGGACGGGATAAAATGTCCTACTTGTAACTTTTTACAGACAATGCCTTGCTATAGCCATTTTTTTTTGCTGTCCCACCTTTGCAGACTTTCCAGTCTTTCTTAAGTGCTATCATTAGTCTAGTGAGGACGCTTTATTTCTGTGGTAACTGCAGCCATGCAGCAGGAGCTTTTGTTCAAAGTCTTAGTCATCGGAGACTTGGGAGTGGGAAAAACTTCCATCATCAAGCGGTACGTGCATCAGATCTTCTCCCAGCACTACAGAGCCACCATCGGGGTGGACTTTGCCCTGAAGGTGCTTCAGTGGGACAATGACACTGTGGTCCGTCTTCAGCTGTGGGACATAGCAGGTCTGTAAAAAAATTTTACGAGCCCATAGCTCATCTTGTTTTACAGGCTTATTATGCATCAGGTGGGTGAAAAAAAAAAAAAAAAAAAGGGACATGACAGGTTCATTTTGTTTGAGTTTGAAAAAAACAAACCATTTTGTTTCTGTGAAAAAGCTGCTTCCTAAAATGAATCTGATTAATGTACGGAAAGTAATTTAAACACGTTAAAATGATAACAAAAGGTAATGATAGTGAAGGAAAACATTTCAATTCTGGAGTCCTAAAATTCTTTGTTAGTAACAGATTACTACAATAAGGCTACTTTAACTGGTTTCTTGCCTAACATACTTCAATAAAACACATTTCAGAATGTTATATAAAGACAGGATAAAATTACAAATCCTCCTGACTCTAACTTTTTACTTCTATGGATCTGTGATAAAGCCTTCCAACAAAAGATGATAGAAACAGAGATATTTTCTAGTAAGTGATGTGAACATTCATTGGATGCTCCAGTCCCTCCCTGTCATTTGAAGCCTGCTTGAGGAATGTGGATCTTGTGCCTGGCTGTGACTCAAGTGATCCCATGCTCATAATATAAGTCACATGCAGGGCCGCCACAGCGAAACACACACACATGCCCACAGAAACTCACGCTCCCTTTAGATACATGTCACTAATGAACCGTGCTGGTAGTTGATTTAATTTTACAGTCTTAAAATATGTCTATTTATAGATACCATTTGTGTGTGTGTGTGTGTGTGTGTGTGTGTGTCTGTGTGTCTGTGTGTGTGTGTGTGGTGCTTCTGTATCTGATGTCTATCTATGCATCCCAGGACAGGAGAGGTATGGGAACATGACTCGTGTTTATTATCGTGAGGCTGTGGGGGCACTGATGGTGTTCGACGTGACGAGGGCCTCAACGTTTGAGGCCGTGCTGAAGTGGAAAGATGACTTGGACTCAAAGGTGAGACGTCTGACGTTGACCCTTCATGGAGAGAAATCGTTACAAAATGTGTCTGAATCTGAGCTTCCCCCAGCGTTACGTATGGTATGATAGAAATGTTACAGTTCTGGTTCACTTTGACTTAACTATATTTACTGTGTTGAAGACCATGTGTAATTTACTGTTAGTTAAGCACTGTTTTCCAGCAGAGTCTTATACAGAGACACTTTGATACCATACCAAGACTTGACACCCATATTTTTTTCTCCACAGGTGACCCTGAACCATGGGAGGCCAGTTCCAGCTGTACTCTTGGCCAATAAGTCAGACCAGTTGGCTTACCAGACACCCAAGCTCGACTCTTTCTGCAGGGAGAACGGCTTTGTTGGCTGGTTTGAGACCTCTGCAAAGGTACGAGATCAGAGACATCAGACACTTTAGAGGAAATACTGCAGCAAGTCAAATGAGTGGAGAGACACTTAAATCAGCCGTGTAATGCTCACTTCAGGTTTTATATTTCTTCTTTAGTACACTACAAGATTTACTATTCAAAAAACTATAAAATGATTTATAGCTTCTTTGAAATCCCTCAGTTCAGCCTCTGTCTGACACTGACACTGTGAAGAACCGATTGCAATAGAAACATGACCATATAAAAGTTCTGTGAGTCTCTGATGTCAGAAAAAAGAGGCAGTTATGCACACCATGAAAGTGCAGGGCAGAGCATAATCAGCAGACTGAGGAAGAACATATGCCTGCACAGTTGCTCAAATGCCATACAAAGTTTGAATTCATCAAAACCACAACATCTCGACCAAAAGCTCTTCTTGAGGTGATCATTTTTAAACAAAGGAGGGGGGGGGCCACAGCAATATATATATAGACTTCACCACCAATAGGCTGATAGGCACTATGATGGCAGGGGTGGTAAAACTCTCAGATGTCACAAAATCTCAAAGATACAGAAACAACCTGGCACAATGTGCATAATGAATATCCAACATTGAAACAATGTATGTATGTCTGAAAATATTGACGAGTATAATACCCCCTCTTTAAAGTAGATCATCATTTGATATCCAAGTTATTATGATACAAATATGGGCCCAGAATGTGAGGTTAGAGGTTTGAGGTTGATTTAGATAAACCCATTGGCCTGAGACATTTGCAACAACTTAGATTCATCAAACACAGTCAATGTTTGATTTGTCCGAATTAGAGTCTCTTACTCAGTAAAGAATAAAATTAAAGCAAATGACATTAAAAAAAAAAATCAAAGCACATTGTAAAAAAAAAAGAGATTCTGAAACTTACCACAGAGCTTTTCTGTGTAACCAGTGAAAGTTACAAAGTGTTATTCACTGTGCACACATGAGACATACGGAGGAATGTCTACAATCTGGTGTGAAATAGCCTTCTCTTTTTTCCTCTTAGTCAGACCCCATCTAATGAGTTACACACAAGGGTGCAGCGGGGGGGGGGAGAATGTTGCTGAATGTGCTTCCACAATGCCGTAGCGCATTGTGGAAGCACACACTGGGATCCCAATATTATGATGTTGCAGATGCAATTCAGGTGCAAATTACAAAAGCATACGCCTGGATAGTCATTCTTTTTTAAGGAATATGGCAATGAACAAAGGTTAATGAATGGATTTTTGACCTGATGATGTCACTTGATAAAAGTTATGGGATTCCAACTGTGTTTAAATGTATTCTCAAGAAACCTAATGATACCAAGCTAAAGTTGTGAAGTTATTTCACTCCAATCCTGATGTTAACCTCATGGTGGCACTGTATGAAAGTCAAAGGGATCTTCAAAGTCAAGTAGTTTGAATCTTTAGGGGAACATGAATTTCTGTCCAGAAAACAAATTGTATTCCACCTTTTGGTTTTTGAGGTAATTTCCGCCTCTTTTTAACCAACTGACCCCCATTACCATCACCAGTGTTGCTAAGAAGCACATGCTTTCTTCACATTTGTCTTCTTTGAATCTTTCCCTCAGGAAAACAAAAACATAGAGGAGGCAGTGTGCTGCTTAGTGGAGAACATCCTGAACAATGAAGAGTGTCCAATAATAGAGCGAGACCCCGGCTCTCTCGTCCTGTCTGGCTTCACTAACAGCAGAAAGGAAAATTTCAACTGCTCATCATGTGTGAAATGGTGACTCCCGACCAATCACAGAGGATAAGGAAGTGAACAGCTGAGCTTCCACAGCCAAAGAATTCAGTTTGACTCAGGGACTGTTTGTATAATGCCGTTGTGTTCCCTTAATGTCAAAAGTGTTAAGTAAATGACGTATTAAGTATTTTGTTAGTTCAATTCAGATTTTTTAAAATTCTTAAATTGTTAAAAATTGAAGGGAGAGAGGAATTTAATGTTAAGTCAACTTTATATTTTATATATAAACATTTATTGTAGGTTCAAATTTAGATTTCATAAATGTTGAAAGGTTCTTTTGTAAGATTTATTTTGGCCTTAAGAATTTACAAAAAAGTGCACATATTCTATATAGTAATTCATATTTAATGTATGTATAGACTTATACTGTATAATCTAATATATATATATACATTTTTGTTACTGTGCTTGCTTGCTCTGAACATATTTAATATTGTGCCTCAAACATTTGTTTGTACAGACAACTCTTGACACTGGAACTTTTGTCTTCTGTATTTATGAACACACAAAAACATAAAGCGTCGTTGCATTCCTTCATTCTTTTCCTATTGTCATCATCATGTACTTTGCTTTAAGTAAAATCCACAAAAGTACGGACATTTTAGTATTTTAGAGATTTGAAAAAGCTGTAAATGCCGCAGCTGTCTGCAGAGTCTTAATTTCATGCATATTTTGGACCTCAGATATTCTTGTATTTTGGACATCTTGCAGAGATCCACGAGCTGCTTGTTGAATGTATATTGAGAAAAGCTCTGTTTATTTTACAGCAATACCTCAGCAGGCATGTGGCTGTTACTATATTTTAACTGTTTTTAATAAGTTAAGTGATTTTGTGCAGTCTCAAACCATTTGTATAAGATGTGAGTCTTGGTTTCTCATCTTTGCACAGGGACTATTCTGAATAGTGAACAACCTCAGGTCAAACATGAATCTGAAAATGAACTCTTCCAGGGTCCTACTTGACTTCAGTCCAGTCTGGCATCTCTATTCCTGTATTAACTGGTTATAAATAATTGTATGTGATTATTGGTGGCTGTTCATCATGACGGTATAGAAGGATTTAGGGGGTTCCCTAAGGTTCCATTTTAGGTCCCCACTTTTTTTTTTTACACTAATGCTCTGCTGGTCTCCTTTTAAAGAATATATCCCAGCTACAACACACAGCGGCACGAGTGCTGACAATAATCAGAGGGAGAGCACACATCCCAGCAATTAGAAGTATCTGCATTAACAACTTGTAGGTTTAGAACCTATTTTAAGAATCTTATTTTTCTGGGTTATCTTTTAGTTCTTTTTAATTATTATTTTTTCTATTTTATCTTTGTTTTGTATTTTCCTGTTCTATTTCTATTCTCTGGATTATCTTTTATCTTTTAGTGTTTTATAATCTTAGCAGTTAGAAAGCTCCTCAGTGTCAGGGTGCCAGGTGTGGATGAGATTCTCTTTAAAGAGCTTTTTACATCCCGTATGAAATTCACACCACATTTTCACACTGATGGCAGAGGCGGCAACATTAAGTGTCCATCAGTATTAACTAATTCCATTCACACACATTCACACACCACTGATGCAGCAGCTGGAGAAATTTGGGGTTCAGTGTCTTGCCCAAGGACACTTCAACATGTGACCACAAACCTTGCCGTGATTTTTTTTTTTTTTAACAATATTAGTGTTTTTTTTTCATAAGAAGTGGAATATGTTTTTTGTAGTTAACTTTTCAATCCTATCTCTAGACATTATGCTCAGCTACAGTCAGCTAATTTACCCTAAATCTATCAGATGGATATGAGAGAGGCATCTATTTTCTCATCTAAAGCTCAATTTGGAACACATGAACTTCTTTCTAGAAATACTGAATAATTCTTTAAAAATTAATCCCACCAAGTATGGTTTAATGCACAGTTAGTGAGCGAATGATTGAAATCCACAAAACAAAAATTAGACTTACTGCCTTTTTGCTCTGTACCTGTCTACCAGTTTGCTGATTTTGGATACTAGATTAGCATGTTCCACTGGTTTTAAACTGAGCTCGAAACAACCAAATGTATGCTCAACAATGACTTGATGATGGTACATAGTTGCAGACTTTTACAGCCTGATGTTTCTGCTACATGCTAAATCTACATATATGTAACATTAAAACACAGCATGTGTGTTCATAAATGGACCACTTGTATGACGTTACACTGGATCATGAACTGATGTATAGTGGAAATTTGTTCTTGCACCCAATAAGAAAAAGACAGTTGAATCATATACAGTCAGAAATAAACAATGTTGTGGAGCTAATGGAGAAGAGTCCAATAAGTTCAGTGATTCTAAACTGATCTCGCCTCTGGACCCTAGATCTCATGATAATACTCGTATGCACCTAGCATCTCCTTATTTGAGCACTCATGTCCAATTTATTATGCATATACTTTTGGTTAAGCCTTGATTTTCACACTTGCATAAAAAAACACATTGATAGCAAACCTAAATCACTGTAAAACTGTTGGCTCTATTATTCATTCAAGGCATTTTTCCAACCCTGAAATCAATTTATTGTCAGTCAAAAACATGGCATGTGCTGCTCTTTTGACTTCAGTGACAACTGAACTGCCGCCTTTGTTAAGCCTGCCCCAAGTGTTCTTTGAAATTCCATGTTTTATAAAAAAAAAAAGGCATCTGCTATATTTTTTTCTTCACTTCCTTTTATGTTTAATAGCCTGGCCTTGTAATGCAACACATTTGCAAGCATATTCTCTGTGGGCCAGGCTACATGCAATAACAAAATGTTATTTTTGGATGTGTGAAGGTCTCAATGTTTTCAGAAACACTTTTAATCAGGATCTTTGCCTGGAATCCAAACATATTTTATGTCCTCACAGCTTGAGACAACCCTAAAAATGTTGACATGACCTTGACATAGAGACATGATTTACAAGGACAGCAACAGGGCTGAACAAGGGGATGAATTTTCTGGGCAACATTTTTTTTTATTCCATTAAGTGTGGATGATGAATGAATTGTTTTGTCTTTCAAAAAAAATGCAAAACATCCCCTCACTCCTGCCTCTACTTGTTTATGTAATCAAACACTAAATAACTTTGGATTTTTTTCTTTTTAGCTCATGTCCTGCTTCTTGAGAAGCCGCGAGGTGCACAGAGTAAATAACTTCAATTAAAATTCTATCTGAAACTAATATCAACCCAAAACCAGGTAAAGAGTAAGAGGTGAGGTTGGCCTTAAGCCTAGTGGCAACCAGCTAGAAGCATCCACCTGTCAGTCGACTAAGCCCCGCCCCTAATTAGGCCTAAGGCTAAATAATATCAAATGGGTGAGAAAAAAAAAGAAAGATTCACCTGCTGTACAGTGTACATGAACCGAGAAACGTGGCAAACCAAAAACTTTATTTGTGTATCATCCTCCCTATGTGTCGACGTTTCATTGGACGGCAGGTATGAAAAGGTAGTAGTCCTACAGCTCTCTGTTGAGCTCCCATCATGCATCAGGGTAATGACCCAGCTGATGCCTTGCCTCGAAACCCCCACCCACGGGGGCAGCCTTCTGCTTTAAGATCCCCCCCCCTCCCCCAAACCCGAGACAAGTGGTAGCCCAATCGCCCTCATATCCCTGTCACCTGATTCATGAAGCCTAGACCTACTGCCATTTTACACACAAGTTTGACCGACCCCCAAAAAACACACACACACACACACACACACACACAAAAAAAAAACGGAATTAGCCTATAAGGCAACCTCAACAGTAATACAGCCTCTTTGTAAAGAGATTAAAGAAGACTGAGGGGATTAAAAAAAAAAAAAAAAATCAAAGTAGCTAGGGTTAGATGCAACCAGCGCGGGGTGCTGTGAAGATCAGAGAGGTGTTTGCTGAAAGTCTTTGCTCACATTCAGAGGAGAAACCGGGCGAAGAAGAGAGCGGAGAAAAAAAAAAAAAAAGAAAAAGGGAAAGGACAATGCTGGGGTTTTTATCGTCTTTGAAAAAAAAATGAATCTTCGGTCGGAGGGGGATGCTGCGTAGATTTGATCATAATCACTTGGGAGTCTTTCGATTTTTTTTTTTTTACCATCGTTATTCCGGATTCATCCCCTCGGAACTGACTCATCCTGCTGTGGCAGCGTCTAATTCAGGGATTTATTAGGCTAGCTGTGCATTGTCTTTATATTATTTGCTGCTTTTTTTTTTTTTTTTTTTAAACGCTCTAATTATGCACTCATGTTTTCCTGCAGCTTTTTTCATGTAGCCTAATTATTTCGTATTTAACAGAAACTGGCTCATCCGGTTGCCTCCGCCTGAATATTAACTAGTTCCCTTTGATGTGACCGCTTTATGTTTTATTTGGCCGCCGCATGAATTCTCCCACCGGATTCTCGCCGGTGTACTCTGCTGTCCTCCACCACCTGCACCTCCTCCTCCTCCTCCTCCTCCTCCTGCTCAGACGGCCGATTCTCGCAGAGGGCACTACCCTCCTCCTCCTCTTCCTTCCCGCCGCTAAAGACATTTTGATCGTCTACCTCCCCGGTTCCCCCAACCGGACTCGGCCATCACTCCGCCTGCCTCCTCCTCCTCCTCCTCCTCCACCACCACCACCACCTCCTCAGTAACATGTCGGGACAGTCATTGACGGACCGGATCGCCGCCGCACAGCACAGCATGACCGGGTCTGCCATCAGCAAAGCCGTCTGCAAGGCCACGACGCATGAAGTCAGCGGACCCAAGAAGAAGCACCTTGACTGTAGGTTACGAGCATACCATCACTGTAACTGTATAGATAGCCTGCATGCATCCTCACAAAGGACAGCTTGTATAAACAGCATCTATTATGCTTCCCCCCCCCCCCCTCTTCTTTTTCCTCCTCTTCATCTCTCATCCGGCCCGGTTGGGTTTGCAGCCTCTTTAATTAAGACACCATTACATTCCCTTAGATTCAATTGTGATTTACGCAGCAAAACATACTCTGTAATATATCTGCTTGTTAATACAGGCGGTTAATATTGAAATAATGCGAGGGGGTGGGGGGGGAGGGGGGGGGGGGGGGCTCAGTCAGCCAGGTACTATCTGTTCGCGTCATTCAGGGGAAATAGGCCACTCTGCTAGGCTAATCATATTGCATCCAGCCGCTTTTACAGTGTAGGCCTATCCATTATTAACGCCACTATTCATCCTCCGGAGACACTTGAGTACAGAGTGTGTTAGTGCAGCATCAACTACAGTTATCCCTCCTTTCTTTTACCTCACATTCAAGTTCACTGTCATGTCTTCTGGTGCATTCTTATCATTAATGGATGTGTTACTGCATGCTGTCAGTCAGAGTCACACTGCTCAAATAGGCGTTAAAGCACAGAAATTGCTGGTGTGAGTACAGCTTTATTTTATCTGCCGCTAATCACCTGTACATGTGCAAACTGCAGCAATTACTATATGTTCACAGGGGAGGACAGAGGAACCCCTTACGAGTAGATTTTTTACCGGTGATTTTTAGGTTAAGTGGCTTTTCTGGCTCCCGATAATTGCCTGACATGATCGATGGAGA